CCGCAATGTTTGTACCTGGACAACAATATGAGTTTATACAAACAGTAGATCCATTATGACATCATTCTGCTATAGTCAAAACTCATACACTTAATTATAGTTTGTGTTAGTTATCACGTACAAACATTTTCATACATAAACCATAAATGTATAGGATAAAAACCCACGTACATTACCAACATTACATAATAATTACTATGTACTTTTCTCCCACCCATTCCCTAACTCTCACATAAACCTTCATTCCCTTACTTCTCAAATAAACCTTCATTCGCTTACTTCTCAAATAAACCTTCATTCACTCACTCCATTGAAACAAACCTTCAATGACCCACTTACTCCCACTCAAAAAAGTCCTAACAGGAATATTACTGTAGGAATTATCAATGTAATGGACATAAAAATGTAGAACTGTTCAATCTAACAGGAAAAAAACTATAGAAATATTTAATCTAACAGCAGAAAAACAGTAGAACTGTTCAATCTAACAGAAATATAACTGTAGAGCTGTTCAATCTAACAGTAATATAACTGTAGAGCTGTTCAATCTAACAGTAATATAACCGTAGAGCTGTTCAATCTAACAGTAATATAACCGTACAGCTGTTCAATCTAACAGTAATATAACTGTAGAGCCGTTCAATCTAACAGTAATATAACTGTAGAGCTGTTCAATCTAACAGTAATATAAATGTACAGCTGTTCAATCTAACAGTAATATAACTGTACAGCTGTTCAATCTAACAGTAATATAACTGTACAGCTGTTCAATCTAACAGTAATATAACTGTACAGCTGTTCAATCTAACAGGAATATAACTGTAGAGCTGTTCAATCTAACAGGAATAAAACAGTAGAACTGTTCAATCTAACAGGAATATAACTGTACAGCTGTTCAATCTAACAGGAATATAACTGTACAGCTGTTCAATCTAACAGAAATATAACTGTACAGCTGTTCAATCTAACAGGAATATAACTGTAGAGCTGTTCAATCTAACAGGAATATAACTGTAGAGCTGTTCAATCTAACAGGAATATAACTGTAGAGCTGTTCAATCTAACAGGAATAAAACAGTAGAACTGTTCAATCTAACAGGAATATAACTGTACATCTGTTCAATCTAACAGGAATAAAACAGTAGAGCTGTTCAATCTAACAGGAATATAACTGTACAGCTGTTCAATCTAACAGGAATATAACTGTACAGCTGTTCAATCTAACAGGAATAAAACAGTAGAACTGTTCAATCTAACAGGAATAAAACAGTAGAACTGTTCAATCTAACAGGAATATAACTGTACAGCTGTTCAATCTAACAGGAATAAAACAGTAGAGCTGTTCAATCTAACAGAAATATAACTGTAGAGCTGCTCAATCTAACAGTAATATAACCGTAGAGCTGCTCAATCTAACAGAAATATAACTGTAGAGCCGTTCAATCTAACAGAAATATAACTGTAGAGCCGTTCAATCTAACTGAGTTATGACAGTTTGAATATTTTGCTTAAATAATTGAGTAATCTAAGAGTTACCAAGTGCGATGACTTTCTTTTATCTTCTACCTGGCTCGCATCATCGCATGCTTGCTATCTCACAAACCGACATCAAACGACGAGCAGAAAATGGACGACTGGAAAAACAACACGATACTGTTCCAGCACTTTAATCTTCCACTCACGGCTTACACAGCCGGTACATGAAATAGACAACTGACCAGGCACACATTATAACTCAATTATCGGTGTTTCAATTATTAACTTCAAGCAGAAAAACACAATCGTCCTACACTAGCATCATGAACGAAAACACAACAGCTGTCCTGACAGAAAACTGACACGGCCCGCCGGCATGTTGCTTGCCAGCTTTTTTCGCCGAGTTGGACTGGAACAAATTCACTCAAAACATCTGCTGAATCCACACATCATCCACCACTGTCCATGCACTCTGTTCCTGGGTCCAAACGAGACTGACTCCCAGCCCTTTTCACGATATTATATAGCCTTCTAATACTCGCTTTGTTTTTCCTGAATATTCCGTGCTCCTTCAGTTTCACGGCAGTCGTGTTTCATCATACTTCGCATGAAGTTTGGCATTCAACCTTTCTCTTCACGTGAATAATTATACTCCACATAAAGTTTGACTATCAGCATTTCTTTATAATTCCTGTGAAGTTCAGACTCAACAATTCCCGTGCCGTCCCAGTTAAAGTCAAAATATTCCACTCACATTTATTACTGACGTCATCTGTCGGGCATAAATTAACTGGGAGAAAATGAGATTCACTACACCAAGCCATCGGAAAAAATTGATTAAAATTACTTTCAGGTTAAATTTTGCAACAAGACATGCATTATTATGTGCAGAAATGAATCACCTTTAATCTAGTGTAGCCACACACACACGCACAAAGTTTAAATCCACTATTTAAACAAAAAGTGTGGATGGTTTAACCTGTCCTTAACAGACATAAGAAAAACTGTTGAATCTAACAGGAATATAACTGTAGAACTATTCAATCTAACAGGAATATAACTGTAGAGCTATTCAATCTAACAGGAATACAACTGTAGAACTGATCCATCCAACAGGAATATAACTGTAAAACTGATCAATCTAACAGAAAAATAACTGTAAAACTGATCAATCTAACAGGAATATAAACAAAGAACTGAGCAATCTAACAGGAATATAAACACGGAACTGAACACTCTACAACAATGACTTAACCTCAAGACAAAACCTCACAGCTACACAATTAAAACTACAGCAGCTGCAACAAGGATGGAGACTAACTATCTATGTCAATTAGTCAAACTAAGATAGGCCTGACTGTCATGGATGATCCAGCAAATATCCATCACTTGCCTGTCTCTTGTTGCTGTCTCTGTTGAATCACACACAGATCCTGTATGTTGGAGACATGATCGTTATCAACATCACAGATGTTTCAAAAATCTCAGATATAATAACACTAACACATACAGACAAACATCAATCTCAGATATAATAACCTTAACACACACAGACAAGGATCAATCTCAGATATAATAACACTAAGCCATACGGACAAGGATCAATCTCAGATATAATAACACTAACACATACAGACAAGGATCAATCTTAAATATAATGTGCTAGTGTAAATCAACAGTCAGATAATGAATACATGTAAATTAACTACAAGCTGCCAATTAGAAAGGAGTTAATAAAAGAACTACAGGTCAGAAGACAGAAAATGACAATACTGCTTTAAGGGGAATAGGCAAAGCATGACTGATTGTCTGAGTCACACCAGCACAGGAAGAGACTGAAGCCATGGCTGAGGATATCAGACATGAAGAAGTCAGAAATGTGACACTCCCAAGTCAATTTGAGACATGGACATTTCACAAAAATATTAATGGGGAGATGCCAGCAGGTCACAGAGACAACTATTAGATTATTGTAGTGAATTTCAATGTGTTAAAATTTAATTTCACTGCACAATTGTTTAGATAACTCTACTTCATATTTCTTTTCCGCCGACCCCCTCTTGCTCTGCTCCATAACATGACTTCTAAACACTATTTACTTGTAAGACATAGGGTACAGCAGACTTAAGGGGCTTGACAACAACAGCTGATTCTAAATCACAATTCTGCAAATCCAATTGCTTTAGAACCATTGGTCTATAGTGTCACTCAGTTTCGTAACCTTCTGGCAGTCAGATGCTTATATATAGTCTGTCACCTGTGTTGTGAAACCTACATGTGAGTGTTGCTGTAATGTGCCTGTCCCGACATGCCTAGTCAATGGTACTGGTTCTGTTTGTGTCTGGCCAGTGTTTATGGTGCTAAAGTATGATTATATTTACTAAAAATAACACTGTCAGAGGGGCAAAGGTTATTGTGAAAAAGCGGCCGTTTAGTCATTATGACACACAATCCCTTTAGCTAGCTGCTGCTTAGTCGCATTCACCTGATTTTGTATTTTGTCTTTGATTTCTCACCTTCAAGGATTTAAAAAATGTTTTACCAATGTCTATAAATACATTTACAAATATTATTAGTGAAGTGCAAAAAAAGTTCTGTTTTTTTGTTTGTTTTTAAAAACCTTTTCATCATGAGAACCTACTTAAACAAATCCCTTGTAAATGTCACTTTACTGATTTGCTATTGTAGCTTGTTTACAAGAAACATTCTAACAGCAAGCATGGTTTGTGCCTGCATAAACATTTAAAGGGACCACAAAATTATATTTGCAAACAAAAGCCAGGGAAAGGGGGAGCAAACCAGATTTGAGATTATGATGTGTAGTGAACCCTTTTCTCCTCGATAAATTATGTCCTAGACAGAATGACGTCAGCTAATAAATATGAATGGGATTTTCTAGTGTAACAAGGGCAGCGACGTCAGTTACAGACAAAATGCTGGCCAAAGGAAACCCGTTTAAATCACGGAGAAAATGTTGGCCAAATGAAACCCATATGAATCGGAAAACACGAAAAAGTCATAACTGTAATGTGGGCATTAGAAGGTTATATAATGCCTTAGAAAGAACATGTGGGCAGTCTCGTTTAGGCCAAGAAACGGAGTGCATGAAGAACGGAGGAGTGTTTGTGGATCCATAATGTGTCTGAGTCTGAGTGTCATTTCAAACATTCTACCTGGCCAAACAGCAACGATTGACGGGAAACTTTGTCTGCCGGCTGAATTGTGTGCTACAGTGTGATTTTAGAATAGGCGGATGTGTTTCGATGAGTGCAGGTAATGCTGACATTTTGCATCATTGTTTGCATCAACCCTAGACCTGTCCTATTTCATGTACTAGCTGAGCAAACAGCAAGTGGAAGAATAAAGTGTGAAAACAGTCTTGTGTTGTTCGCTGTCGTCCATTTCTACTCATCGTGTTGATGTCGGGATGTGAAAAAGTAGTCTGCAGTGACTAGAGCCAGAAAGATAGAGAAGAGAGTCCTTGCAGATGTATAAACCTTTGTAATAACGCTAAAAAGACTTACGTCTTTCAGGATGCTCTTGAAGGTTTCATATGCAACTTCAAGGTTATCATTGTTGATCACATAATCATACGCACCTGGTTCACTGGCTACAATGAAAAACACAAATACAATTCCCACTACATGACTATTTGAATATTCTTAAGAACACCTATATAAATCAGGTTACACTACTATTTGAACATGTTTTATAACATAGATATGACACATGGTACACAGCTATCTGAATATGTTTTATAACACAGATATGGCTCAAGGGAGACAGCTATCTGAATATGTTTTATAACACAGATATGGCACATGGTACACAGCTATCTGAATAGCTATCTGATTTAATTTGATTCAAGAACCGACATCACAGCACTTGGGGCATTCCCATAAGCGCTCTATCCCCACCTTTAGCAGCCAGTGAATAGTTCCAATACTAATGGTGCCAGTAGCATTCTGATTAAAAGTCCGTCTTGCCTTTCCTTTGAGCCTCGAGCATCTCTCCCCACCTGCATAAATCTCAGCAGACTGTGGTGACCCATCTGCTCCTCCCAACTATACACGCTTTTCAACAAGGCCCTAATCACGACTGCCTTATAATGTATCAGTATTCCACCGAGTTATGCAGAGCCAGCCAGTCTGTCTGCCTATTCATTTCCCAACACGCAGGCGTCCCCTGTGAAAAAATCCAGACAATATTCCTCACCCATGTCCTTCGCAGTGAAGCATGCCACTGCACGAAGCTTGCCTGTCCTGATCTTTCCCAGCATGCTTTCTGAGTCAGTTAAAATCATGATGTGTGTGTGTGTTGTGTTCTCTAGCCAGTGGAAAGCTGCAGTGAGCACCTCCACCTCCATTCTTAAGCTGGATGTTGTGGTATCAAATGCTAGGCTCTCCTGCACCAAACGTCGACCAATAACTTTTCCTAAGAAGCCCCAAGCACTTCTTTTGCCTCTTGACAATAAACCATCCGTGTAAATGATCAAATCCTCCGAGCGAGCATTATCTTGAATTAATTGCTGAATTTCCACCTCTGTGGCACCTGCTGGCCAGCCTCTGCATTCCCGGCACAATTATGACCCTACACAAGTTTGACTGTTCAGGTGGCACTTTGACCCACTCCTCTCCTCGCCCAATGTTTTTCAAGGATGCAAACCTGTCTAATTGTGTCTTCTGCCTGAGCCATCCATAATTTCCCTCTTATCAGCTGCTGACCCTTAACTGCACCCAGAGCATCATGCAAAGGGTGGTCTGTGTCTGCAGCTACCCTAAGATATGACTTCGCCTGCAGCACCTTGTGCCTACCTGCAACCGTCGGCAAAACAAGGATATATCGCATACACACCACTGGGGTGTCTCTGGTGTATATCGCATACACACCACTGGGGTGTCTCTGGTGCAACCCAGAATGACCCACATAGCTGCGTTCTGTATGCGCTCTAGTTTGTCCATCTGACTCTTTTAGACAGTAAGCAGTCCCAGGCCATAATCAACCACTGTCAGGATCAGGTGCTGATATAGTGTGAAAAGCATTTTCTGTTCTATGTCAACTGCAGCCATAGTCTTAAGTGCACAGTCTTTTTTGGCATCTTGTCACAACACTCTCCACATGGTCCTTAAAGGACAGGCTCCTGTCAAATGTAATTTTCAGATACTTCAGTTTGCTCTCTCTGTTAACTTTTCTACCATCTATCATGAGACTTGGGACATTAGCTTTAACGATTCTGTTGTCTAGAGAACACAACTATTTGAATATATTCTACTGAATAGATAAAGCTCCGACTACATAATTATTTGAATATTTTTTATAACACAGATATGGCTCATGGTACACGACTATTTGAATACGTTCTATTGCACAGATACAGCTCCGGTTACCAGGTAATAATAAGTGAGGTGATACCAGGAGATTTACCAGGTGATAACTTGTGGGATGTGACACATGTACCAGGTGATAACTACTGGGGTGTGACACATGTACCAGGTGGTAACTACTGGGGTGTGACAAAAATAAAAGGTGATAACTATTGGAGTGTGACAGATATATGAGGTTATAACTACTGAGGTGTGACACTCTAAGGACAGCACATATATTAGTTGATAATACCTGGGGTGTGGCACACATACCAGCTGATAACTACTAGGGTGTGACACATATACCAAGTGACACTCTAAGGACATCATACATATCAAATATCTGTGTGTATGTTGTCGCGCATGTACAAAATCCCTTTGGAGCTGGAAATCAAAAAGAGTAGCCTAACGGTGCTGCCCAGGCAAAATTTGGAGTTTAAAATCTACCATAAGTATTTTAGGAACCTCGCCGGTGCTATGGAGATTGTACACTGCGATTCTTCGGACTCAAGCTTGAGTTAGAACGGAGCACTTATGGGTTACTACCCTTGTGCCATGATGTTGCTCTGTTGTATCAACTAAACTAGACATATATATATCATAACAATAATAAACACTGTCAAGTAAACATGAATACTGTTCAAAACTATGACTAAATGTAGCTTCCCAGTATAAGCAAACAATTCTGTTTACATAGACTCAACCACAACCAACATTCCTATAGAACATACACACACACACCACTACACAGACCTGCCAGACATACACATGTCAGATTATGAGGCAACCAATGGTAACCACCCTACCAGCGACTCTGTCACTGTACATGACAGAGACAAGACAATCACCACAAGAAGGGACAGACAGCATTTACCATAGTCCAGTGCTTCTTTGGCAGTATCCAGTCTCTTCTGTAAGCTCTCTGGTGTTTCCGTGCCTCTAGACTCCAGACGGGCTTTCTGCAGAAATAAATATGTCTCAAAGGGAAGACTGGTGACAGAAACATTAACAGCAACATGTCTCAAAGGGAAGACTGGTGACAGAAATATTAACAGCAACATGTCTCAAAGAGAAGACTGGTGACAGAAATATTAAAAGCAACATGTCTCAAAGAGAAGACTGGTGACAGAAATATTAACAGCAACATGTCTCAAAGGGAAGAAATGGTCACAGAAACTGTACGTATGTATCAGACATTGATTGACTGCATGTATGTATGTATGTATCAGACACAGCATGCATGCATGTATGTATATATGTAGTATGTATCAGACACAGCATGCATGCATGTATGTATATATGTATGTATTATCAGACACCATGTGCGCATATCAAACAGTGTGTATGTATCAGACATTTTTTTTATGTATGTTCAGATATTCACAAACTTTAAATATCTAGGCTCTATAATAAACAGCAATGGAGACTGTTCAACAGAAATTAAAAGGAGAATGGCAGGGGTCGACCGACACAAAGATGGGCACAGGATATAAGTGACTCCTTGAGTATGAAAGTACATGAGGCAGGAAAACTGGCGAGAGACCAAGTTTCTTTCAGGCAGACTGATGAGAGCGACGTTCTGCAAAGGACCTGCTACATGATATATGTTTTAGACACTGTGTGTGTGTATTAGACAGTAAGTGCATGTATCAAACAGCAAGTTTACATTTATTCGAATGATCAACATTATGGCACACAGGTGTAGCCCATAAGTGCTTCGTGCTACTTACAGACAATAAGTGTGTGTATCAGACACTGTGTGAATGTATCAACAGTGAGTGCATGTATCAGACACTGTGTGAATGTATCAACAGTGAATGCATGTATCAGACACTGTGAATGTATCAACTGTGAGTGTATGTATCTGACACTGTATAAATGTACCAACAGTGAGTGTATGTATCAGACACTGTTTGAATGTATCAACAGTGAGTGTATGTATCAGACACTGTGTGAATGTATCAACAGTGAATGCATGTATCAGACACTGTGAATGTATCAACTGTGAGTGTATGTATCTGACACTGTATAAATGTACCAACAGTGAGTGTATGTATCAGACACTGTTTGAATGTATCAACAGTGAGTGTATGTATCAGACACTGTGTGAATGTATCAACAGTGAGTGTATGTATCAGACACTGTTTGAATGTATCAACAGTGAGTGTATGTATCAGACACTGTGTGAATGTATCAACAGTGAGTGCAAGCATCAGACACTGTGTGAATAAATCAACAGTGAGTGTATGTATCAGACACTGTGTGAATGTATCAACAGTGAGTGTATGTATCAGACACTGTGTGAATGTATCAGACACTGTGTGTACGTATCAGACAGACACTGTATAATTAACAAACTGAAGCTACTGACCAGAACATCCAGACTGGGAGGTTTAATGAATATGAACCTTGGTGTTGGCTGAAGATCAGACTTTTTGATGCTTTTCACTCCATTGATCTCCACATCCAGCACACAGAGAAGTCCAGACTTGCTGATGTCTGACACTGACTTCTTGCTTTATGGAGATCAATAAACAAACACCCGTCACACAGCAGTTATATGGGTGAACCTATCAGACATGGGGAATTATATATCACATACTGAGGATCATCGCCGGAGCTACAGAAAGCAGGAGGCTAGCCATTCTGCTGAGTGAGACTGAGCCACATTGTTCAAAACTTGATGCAATAAAGCCTATCCTCTTAACTCTCAACATCAGACTTGAAAATATACGTTACATAAAGAACTGTCAGCCATGGAAACATATCATTCATGTGAAACTACCAGACATGAAAACATATACACCCTGAACAATACAGTACACATGGGGAAACTATCAGACATGGAAACCTATTATATATAGGGGAATTTTATATCATACATGGAAACCTATTATATATAGGGGAATTTTATATCATACATGGAAACCTATTATATATAGGGGAATTTTATATAATACATGGAAACCTATTATATATAGGGGAATTTTATATCATACATGGAAACCTATTATACATAGGAGAATTTTATATCATACATGGAAACCTATTATATATAGAGGAATTTTATATCATACATGGAAACCTATTATATATAGAGGAATTTTATATCATACATGGAAACCTATTATATATAGAGGAATTTTATATCATACATGGAAACCTATTATATATAGAGGAATTTTATATCATACATGGAAACCTATTATATATAGAGGAATTTTATATCATACATGGAAACCTATTATATATAGAGGAATTTTATATCATACATGGAAACCTATTATATATAGAGGAATTTTATATCATACATGGAAATCTATTATATATAGAGGAATTTTATATCATACATGGAAACCTATTATATATAGAGGAATTTTATATCATACATGGAAACCTATTATATACAGGAAACTATAGGACATGAAAACCTACCCTATATAAGGAACTTTATATAATACATGGGGAACAATCAGACATGGAAACCTATCACACGTGGAAAACCATCTGATATGAAAACTATCAGGAATAGGTAATTTTCAAGCAATAGTAAATCTATTATATATGAGGAAACTTATGATATATGAGTACATTTATGATATAAGGCAAACCTTTCATAATTAACCTGTCTATGGACCACCTGTAATCACATCCAAGAAATGAAACCCTCACTGCCAGCAAGTACAATCAAGAACTGAAACCCTCACTGCCAGCAAGCACAATCAAGAACTGAAACCCTCCCTGCGAGCAAGTACAATCAAGAAATGAAACCATCACTGTCAGAAAGTACAATCAAGAAATGAAACCCTCATTGTCAGCAAGCACAATCAAGAAATAAAACCCTCACTGCCAGCAAGCACAATCAAGAAATGAAACCCTCACTGCCAGCAAGTACAATCAAGAAATGAAACCCTCACTGCCAGCAAACACAATCAAGAAATAAAACCCTCACTGCCAGCAAGTACAATCAAGAAATGAAACCCTCACTGCAAGCAAGCACAATCATGAAATGAAACCCTCACTGCCAGCAAGCACAATCAAGAAATGAAACCCTCACTGCCAGAAAGCACAATCAAGAAATGAAACCCTCACTGCCAGCAAGTACAATCAAGAAATGAAACCCTCACTGCCAGCAAGTACAATCAAGAAATGAAACCCTCACTGCCAGCAAGCACAGTCAAGAAATGAAACCCTCACTGCCAGCAAGTACAATCAAGAAATGAAACCCTCACTGCCAGCAAGTACAATCAAGAAATGAAACCCTCACTGCCAGCAAGCACAATCAAGAAATGAAACCCTCACTGCCAGCAAGCACAATCAAGAAATGAAACCCTCACTGCCAGCAAACACAATCAAGAAATGAAACCCTCACTGCCAGCAAGTACAATCAAGAAATGAAACCCTCACTGCCAGCAAGTACAATCAAGAAATGAAACCCTCACTGCCAGCAAGTACAATCAAGAAATGAAACCCTCACTGCCAGCAAGTACAATCAAGAAATGAAACCCTCACTGCGAGCAAGCACAATCAAGAAATGAAACCCTCACTGCCAGCAAGTACAATCAAGAAATGAAACCCTCACTGCGAGCAAGCACAATCAAGAAATGAAATCCTCACTGCCAGCAAGTACAATCAAGAAATGAAACCCTCACTGCCAGCAAACACAATCAAGAAATGAAACCCTCACTGCCAGCAAGCACAATCAAGAAATGAAACCCTCACTGCCAGCAAACACAATCAAGAAATGAAACCCTCACTGCCAGCAAGCACAATCAAGAAATGAAACCCTCACTGCCAGCAAACACAATCAAGAAATGAAACCCTCACTGCCAGCAAGCACAATCAAGAAATGAAACCCTCACTGCCAGCAAACACAATCAAGAAATGAAACCCTCACTGCCAGCAAACACAATCAAGAAATGAAACCCTCACTGCCAGCAAGCACAATCAAGAAATGAAACCCTCACTGCCAGCAAGTACAATCAAGAAATGAAACCCTCACTGCCAGCAAGTACAATCAAGAAATGAAACCCTCACTGCCAGCAAGTACAATCAAGAAATGAAACCCTCACTGCCAGCAAGTACAATCAAGAAATGAAACCCTCACTGCGAGCAAGCACAATCAAGAAATGAAACCCTCACTGCCAGCAAGTACAATCAAGAAATGAAACCCTCACTGCGAGCAAGCACAATCAAGAAATGAAATCCTCACTGCCAGCAAGTACAATCAAGAAATGAAACCCTCACTGCCAGCAAACACAATCAAGAAATGAAACCCTCACTGCCAGCAAGCACAATCAAGAAATGAAACCCTCACTGCCAGCAAACACAATCAAGAAATGAAACCCTCACTGCCAGCAAGCACAATCAAGAAATGAAACCCTCACTGCCAGCAAACACAATCAAGAAATGAAACCCTCACTGCCAGCAAACACAATCAAGAAATGAAACCCTCACTGCCAGCAAGCACAATCAAGAAATGAAACCCTCACTGCCAGCAAGTACAATCAAGAAATGAAACCCTCACTGCCAGCAAGTACAATCAAGAAATGAAACCCTCACTGCCAGCAAGCACAGTCAAGAAATGAAACCCTCACTGCCAGCAAGTACAATCAAGAAATGAAACCCTCACTGCCAGCAAGTACAATCAAGAAATGAAACCCTCACTGCCAGCAAGCACAATCAAGAAATGAAACCCTCACTGCCAGCAAGCACAATCAAGAAATGAAACCCTCACTGCCAGCAAGCACAATCAAGAAATGAAACCCTCACTGCCAGCAAACACAATCAAGAAATGAAACCCTCACTGCCAGCAAGTACAATCAAGAAATGAAACCCTCACTGCCAGCAAACACAATCAAGAAATGAAACCCTCACTGCCAGCAAGCACAATCAAGAAATGAAACCCTCACTGCCAGCAAGTACAATCAAGAAATGAAACCCTCACTGCCAGCAAGCACAATCAAGAAATGAAACCCTCACTGCCAGCAAGCACAATCAAGAAATGAAACCCTCCCTGCGAGCAAGTACAATCAAGAAATGAAACCCTCACTGCCAGCAAGCACAATCAAGAAATGAAACCCTCCCTGCGAGCAAGCACAATCAAGAAATGAAACCCTCACTGCCAGCAAGCACAATCAAGAAATGAAACCCTCACTGCCAGCAAACACATCCAAGAAATGAAACCCTCACTACAAGCAAGCACAATCAAGAAATGAAACCCTCACTGCCAGCAAGCACAATCAAGAAATGAAACCCTCACTGCCAGCAAACACATCCAAGAAATGAAACCCTCACTACAAGCAAGCACAATCAAGAAATGAAACCCTCACTGCCAGCAAGTACAATCAAGAAATGAAACCCTCACTGCCAGCAAGCACAATCAAGAAATGAAACCCTCACTGCCAGCAAGCACAATCAAGAAATGAAACCCTCCCTGCGAGCAAGTACAATCAAGAAATGAAACCCTCACTGCCAGCAAGCACAATCAAGAAATGAAACCCTCACTGCCAGCAAGTACAATCAAGAAATGAAACCCTCCCTGCGAGCAAGCACAATCAAGAAATGAAACCCTCACTGCCAGCAAGCACAAACAAGAAATGAAACCCTCACTGCGAGCAAGCACAATCAAGAAATGAAACCCTCACTGCCAGCAAACACATCCAAGAAATGAAACCCTCACTGCCAGCAAGCACAATCAAGAAATGAAACCCTCACTGCCAGCAAGTACAATCAAGAAATGAAACCCTCACTGCCAGCAAGCACAAACAAGAAATGAAACCCTCACTGCCAGCAAGCACAAACAAGAAATGAAACCCTCACTGCCAGCAAGCACAATCAAGAAATGAAACCCTCACTGCCAGCAAACACATCCAAGAAATGAAACCCTCACTACAAGCAAGCACAATCAAGAAATGAAACCCTCACTGCCAGCAAGTACAATCAAGAAATGAAACCCTCACTGCCAGCAAGCACAATCAAGAAATAAAACCCTCACTACAAGCAAGCACAATCAAGAAATGAAACCCTCACTGCCAGCAAGCACAATCAAGAAATGAAACCCTCACTACAAGCAAGCACAATCAAGAAATGAAACCCTCACTGCCAGCAAGCACAATCAAGAAATAAAACCCTCACTACAAGCAAGCACAATCAAGAAATGAAACCCTCACTGCGAGCAAGTACAATCAAGAAATGAAACCCTCACTGCCAGCAAGTACAATCAAGAAATGAAACCCTCACTGCCAGCAAGTACAATCAAGAAATAAAACCCTCACTGCGAGCAAGTACAATCAAGAAATGAAACCCTCACTGCCAGCAAGCACAATCAAGAAATAAAACCCTCACTGCCAGCAAGTACAATCAAGAAATGAAACCCTCCCTGCCAGCAAGTACAATCAAGAAATGAAACCCTTACTGCCAGCAAACACAATCAAGAAATAAAACCCTCACTGCGAGCAAGCACAATCAAGAAATAAAACCCTCACTGCGAGCAAGCACAATCAAGAAATGAAACCCTTACTTCCGGCCGTAAATCCCTGGGCAAGCAATAAGAAAACATGCTCACCTGGTGCCATAAAGGTTGCCAGAGAACTCCGCATATTCTAGGAACTGGTTCTCAGCTATCATCTTCTCAAAGTCTTCCCTGGAGACAAAGTGATAATCTGAGGAATGATGAATGAATATAGGTTCAATATAAGGGATGGCAGGTTATAACAGTTCAATGTTGGAGTTAGAGCCAGTTTATACACAGGGCGGCAAAAATGGTCCTGAAATCCTATTTCCTTGTGGAAGACTTTAATGCAAGCACACTTTGCTAATCACACTCGCAATCGTTATGGTCTGTTGAGCTGAGTCAAGAACTGACATCACAGCACTCGGGGCATTCCCATGCATGCTTTGTCCTCATCTTCAGCAGCCAGCGCAGAGTTCTAATACTGATGGTACTGGTCACAATCTGGTTAAATGTCTGTCTTGCCCTTTCTCTGAGTGTAGTGAGCCGGCCAGACCTTCTGGTTAAACCCAGGTGCCTCATTCTCTCCAGCCATAATAATCATCTTTCTCTACTGATTCTGTTGCTTGTTCCCAAAGGGCCTTGACCACATCTGCCTTTTCATGTTTCAAGTCACCACCCAGTGGTGCAGATCCAGCCAATATGTCTGCCTGCTCATTACCCACCACGCCGGCATGGCCTGGAGAAAAGATCTAAAGTATGCTCACTACCCATGACCCTTCCAGTGAAGCTTGCCACTCTGCTCGAAGCATCCCTGTCTTCACCTTTTTCAGTATGCTTTCAGTCTGTTACAATTACTATATGTGTATGCATCTTGTTCTCTAGCCACTGGAGACCTGCAGTTACCGCCTCCACCTCCATTCTCATGTTAGATGTTGTGGTGTCATATGCTAGGCTGTCTTGCACTGAAGATTTTCCATTGGCTTTTGTTACAAACCCCCAGGCACTTCTCTTTCCTCTCAACAATGAACCATCGGTATAGATAACCAGATTACCTGGGCGTGAATTGTTGTGAATCAACTGTTAGTCTTCAACCTCTGTAGCACCCGCTGGCCACTCTCTGCACACCCGGTCCAGTGTGATCATTACCCTACTCAGTTCAGACTTTCCCGCTTGTACTCGGACCAACTCCTCTTTTTGCCCAATGTAACTCTTCAGCTATTTGATTCCGATCTCTCCCCTTTCTATATACAAATACATCATCTGCAAAATGTTAATATTCTGCCAACTCCAACAGACATTTTTTCAAACCAAACTGAGCAATTTTCTCAAATCCCACAGAATATTTTTCAAACCAAACGGAACAATTTTCTCAAATCACACAGAATGTTTTTTCCAGACCAAACTGAGCAATTTTCTCAAATCATACAGAATGTTTTTTCCAGACCAAACTGAGCAATTTTCTCAAATCATACAGAATGTTTTTTCCAGACCAAACTAAGCAATTTTCTCAAATCATACAGAATATTTTTTTCCAGACCAAACTGAGCAATTTTCTCAAATCACACAGAATGTTTTTTTCCAGACCAAACTGAGCAATTTTCTCAAATCACACAGTATGTTTTTCCAGACCAAACTGAGCAATTTTCTCAGATCACACAGAATGTTTTTTCCAAACCAAACTGAGCAATTTTCTCAAATCACACAGTATGTTTTTCCAGACCAAACTGAGCAATTTTCTCAAATCATACAGAATGTTTTTTCCAGACCAAACTGAGCAATTTTCTCAAATCATACAGAATGTTTTTTCCAGACCAAACTAAGCAATTTTCTCAAATCATACAGAATATTTTTTTCCAGACCAAACTGAGCAATTTTCTCAAATCACACAGAATGTTTTTTTCCAGACCAAACTGAGCAATTTTCTCAAATCACACAGTATGTTTTTCCAGACCAAACTGAGCAATTTTCTCAGATCACACAGAATGTTTTTTCCAAACCAAACTGAGCAATTTTCTCAAATCACACAGAATGTTTTTTCCAGACCAAACTTAGCAATTTTCTCAAATCACACAGAATGTTTTTCCAGACCAAACAGGGCACAGTTTACTTTCAACACATCATACTCCTTAAACAAAAAAAGTAGTAGACTTCTTTGCTGGAATATAATACTAGAAAACAAATGACAAGAAAGTTAAAGACTGCTGGATCAAGGACTACCACTGTCGTTATGATTAATATTCTTCTTCCTCTTTGCATTCCTTGGCTGTAAACTCAGATGGTTGTTTGTCCACTTCTAGACTGTGGTCTTGTTCCAGAACTTGTGTTTTGGGGGCACAGCCATTTTACAGATTAGGCTTATATGTGTGCAGACTGCTGGTTCCTCACCTCTGAGAAAGATGCATTCCAACTTTGAGGGCAACATTCCTAATTAGTCAACTTTTACAACACACTTGTTATGGGGCAGTGGGTCTACTCTGGTTTCATCAAAATGGGTCCCCAGAACCCACACAGGGAACTCTGGACACTGCATGTGTGTATGCACCAACTTTTTTTTTTCAGGGTCACAAATTGGGCACGCAAGCCTGTCTTACATTCGGCCCTTCTAAACACCCATCGTTCACACAGCAGTTGTATTTAATAAATAAAGCACACACATGACAGGCAACCTTGTGCGTGCGTGTGTGTGAAAGGGGGGGGATTATGCTACCAGTGATGTTCACTGGCACTACTTCTCATCAGCCACTTTCAGACATAGCAGATACGCTACTTCTCATCAGCCACTTTCAGACATAGCAGATACACTACTCCTCATCAGCCACTTTCAGACATAGCAGATACGCTACTCCTCATCAGCCACTTTCAGACTGATGACTATCTCTTGCATAGAGACTATACTTCACTGAGAGCTCTCCCTGAGTTGTAAAGGGCATTGGGGGGAGGATTGAATGCCATGACACTTAGTGGAGCCTAATGGCTGGTTTCTAGTTCATCAAAAGCACAAAGAATCTGGCAGACAACTGTGTTACCAGTATAACTCACCTTTGCCATTGATTTCTCCGGGCCTTGGCTTTCTGGTAGTATCTGTGGAACAGATATATGTGTTTAGCAGATCATCTATCATCAATGTGTTGTGTCATCTATCAGCTATGTGTGTGTTCAGTTGGTCATCTATCAGCTATGTGTGTGTTCAGTTGGTCATCTATCAGCTATGTGTGTGTTCAATTGGTCATCTATAATCTATGTGTGTGTTCAATTGGTCATATATGAAACCACTAATCACACGTATAAGTAATCACTATCACACATCCATAAAACCACTAACCACACATATATGAAACCACTAACCACACATATATGAAACCACTAACCACAAATATAAGAAACCACTAACCACACATATATGAAACCACTAACCACACATATAAGAAGCCACTACCCACACATAAGAAACCACTAACCACACATATAAGAAACCACTACCCACACATATAAGAAACCACTACCCACACATATAAGAAACCACTACCCACACATATAAGAAACAACTAACCACAAATATATGAAACCACTAACCACACACACCCTCACTTCTGTTTTAATTAAATGTAGACAAATTTGATGGACTTGATCCTCACCGGAGCTATGGAGTTCTTGCTGAAATCCGATGCAGCAGCATCTACAAGTTACAGAAGGAGAAGAGGACAATATGGTAGAAGACGACAAAATAGACGTGCTGCTGCACGCAAAAACCAATCTAAGTCAGAACGCTTTAGCAAGGGAAATCTCCGCATTCTTTGCTGGAACTGCAGGAGCGTTTGACAGAGAGGCCCAATCTTGGAGAAACTGATATATGATCGCACTTCAGGAGACCTGGCTGAATAGGGAGGAAGCTCTGAATGTCTCAAGCTTCCAAACGTACTGCCACAACAAAGATGTTGTCAGAACCTGTCAGCCAGCCGTAGACCTGTTTCACCAATGTATTTCATGCCACATATCTTGCAGTTGATGGCATAAATGACATTGCGGCTGGTACAATTGAATGCTTCACGTATGTGGAAGGTGGCCTTAGGGAATTCTAGACTTGCCACCTGGACCACATATGGACAGGTTCTGCATTCAGCTCTGTGGCAAAAGACTGTGCCGAAGTTGGGCTCAGACGCAGGGCGTAACCTACTCTTGACTAGAATGTCCTTGAGGTTACGATCATGCCTGTAAGCCACTAGAGGAGGTTCAGAGAAAATTGTGCAGGTGGCAGGGTCAGCTTTAAGGATGGAGAGATGCCTGAGGAAAATATTTTTGGCGTAGATGTTGTAAGGGTGGTAGGTAAGTGTGAGGATAGGTCTGTTGTTGTGACATTTCGCCTTGGAAGTGAGAGCTTCGGCACGATGAAAAGACCATGCGCGGTGAAAGAAGGCAGATAGGACATGTTCAGGATAACCTCGAAGCAAGTCCAGCATTTCCAGGGCCTTGTTGTAAAAGTCGTCGTTTTCCTGGTATAATCTGCGGAGGCGAAGAAGTTGAGAGAATGGAATTGAGTCCTTGCAGGAAGAGGGATGGGAGGACGTGTAGAGAAGAAAAGCGTGGGAATCAGTAGGCTTGTAGTACACCGAGGTGCTAAGGCCAAAAGAGTTCAACAATATATTTCAACAACCCCCGGGGTGGACACCTGAAGTCGCAGAAGCCTGGACAGAGAAACGAGGTGCCACCAAAGACAGAGAAATGCAGAAAGTCTTTAAATTTTTCTGAGGCTCAGAAACAAGACATTAAACACAAAAAAGACAGACTTATTGAACATTTTAAACAACTTCCAAAGGAGTCTAAGCACACAATGTAAAGAAATAGGTAAAGAAAAATCTCTCAGAAAATTCTGGCAGCTCCACCAAAAGATGAACGGAGGCAAACAAATCTCTGTGATGCCAGAGCTAACGATGGACAACGGGGTGGCGTTACAGTCGGATGAAGACAAAGGCGAGGCTATCCTGCACAGATTTCCCCTGCAGACAGTAAAGACAGACAGGGAAGAGAGGGAGCAGATGAAACAGAGATTACACGGTATCCACATGGCTGAAATGGTGTAAGACCATGATACAGTATACATCTCAACTCATTGCATCAGAGCAACACTGAAGACCTGTCCAGAACAGCTTCAGGGCCTGATGGTATTAGATACAGTGACTTCAAAAGCCTCAAGGAGACAGATATGGATGTACTATCCACGATATTGAACAACACCATGTAAACTGGCATTATCCCTGATGACTGGCTCCACAGCTACCTCAGACCGGTTCCTAGGCCAGGGAAAGACCACACAAGAATAAATGGCTACAGAATCATCACACTCCAGAACACTATTGGAAAACTCATGGAAAAAATTGTGGCCAGATCGTTGACCCAAACATTGGAGTCAGGTGGTCTATTCCCCAGCTACACTAGGTGGTTACCGACCAGGATGATACATGGTGCAATGCTGCAGTATTTGCCTACGACACAAACAAGGGTTTTCAGGAGGGAATGGAAACGAATGCAGTGGCTACTGACTTAGAAGATGAGTACAACAGCGTCCCATACAACAGGCTCATCAGGCTGCTGTTGGATATGCAGATTTTAAAAAAATTTGTCAACTGGATCGCAGCAGCGCTTTTTTAAAGAACAGTGTCGCTTCGATGTGGTGAATGGGCATCCAAACCTCAAAGCATCCTAATGGGTCTGCCCCAGAGATCACCGTTGTCGCCTGTGCTCTTTAATGTGTACAAAGCAGGAGTCACGAATGCACAAAGCGTATGTCTGGGTAGAACAATGTCGTATGCAGATGATATCCTTGTTTAACGTAGAGGTAAAAACAGGCAGGAAATTACAACCATGCTACAACATGCACTAGACAGACTTAGTGAATGGTGCCAGGAATAGAGTTAACATGGTTCTCTCTGAATACCCACATCGCCAGTACACCAATGCCAGTCGTAAGCATATGTGGTGTGGACATCGAGAGAACAGACACCATGAAATACCTGGGCATGACATTTTACAGATACTTGTCATACAAATGCCTCGTAGACAACGTCATACTTAGAGCCAGGAAAGGTCTGACAGCACTCAAGGTGTTAGCAGCAGCTGATATTGAACAACGCCTACTTTTCCTTCTCTATCAAGGGCTTGTATTAGGCGTCATTGACTATGGTCTTAGCCTCCTCACTGTCAGCAAAACCCAGCTAGAAAGACTAGACCGAGTACAAAATGAGGCCATGAGACTCATACTCGGCTGCATAAAAGACACTTCCTGCAACGCCGTGCGTTATGTCCTGGGTTTGCCGACGATGAATAGCAGATACAAAGTGGCACAGGTCAAGGCGTACATGAGGGTATCGGCAGATGCTAACCACCCACTGTATAAAGCTATACATGACACAAAAGGAACGCTTCTCAAAAGAGGCCACTCTTGGATGGCAAAGGCTGAGGATTTAATCCAGCAGGTATGTGACCTAGACGTGATCAGTCACGGAAAAGAATGGATGAATACACCTGTAGACATGCATGGCATCTCTAAGGTTGTCATCACACTCGGAAGGTACTACAGTGATCAAATTTCTGCGGCCGTAGACACAGAAGTAAGAGAACTGATAGATCAGCATTCAGACCCAGAAGATATCATCATCTACACAGATGGATCTGTGAAGCGCGGATCAAGGTCAGCATAGGCATACACAGCGCAAAGAAGGGGGAAAACAATACAGGAGGACAACCACGCCAAGCATGACCATGGAAATAGCCGCTGCTTCTAGAGCTTTAGCATGGGTATCTGAGAAAACCGCCACACAGGCAGTTATTGTATCAGACTCCATGAATATGCTTCAGAAGATTGCAACAGGCAGTTAGCGCTCTGAATGGGTAGAAAGCATTTCGAAAATCGCACTTAACCTCCGTAACCTGGATCTACACACCGGGTCATGCGGGTGTAAAGGGAAATGAGCGAGCGGACCAACTGGCAAGCACTGCACTAAGGATTGCAGGGAAAAAGCATGGAAAGAGCAGATATCGTCAACGCTGCACGGTCTGGGCTAGTGGATAATGAGGAATCCCTGACACTAACAGGATTGCGTGACTTTGGGAGTAAAGCTTGGTGAAGCACGTCTTTGCCGTCTTCGAGACAATATAACCAGCTTCTCATGGGAACAATTAGTAGAAGTACTTTGGAACGGAGGACTGAGCACACATGGGAATGCCCAATGTGCAGTGACGTCGACTGTGATAACATGAAATAACATAACATCTTGTAGGGAGTCGGCAGTCCAAAATCCAAGTACAAGGTGTCTCCTTCGTGCCAAAGAACTGCATGGCTTTTGGGTGAACAGTCGTTAACGAAGGCAGTCATGTCGTTATAGGGGTGACGCTTGCTGGTGGATGTAATTTCCTAAGCCTTCCCCAGCTAATAGAGAGGGTACTGCTGGGGTGACCGCTTACTGTGCTTACTTATTAAAGAAAGGGAAAAAAGAAGAGAATAATCCATCTAAACATGCAAAGACTCTCTTTCTATCACTCTCTTGGCTCCAGTCATCTGTAGACATCTCAGGTGCATATCGACTTACACTTCAACATGCCGAAACATGAACAAGTGAACGCACAGCTGATGCTAATGTCAATGTTTACTGATTTACACAATCGTCTTCAAGCCAGTGCACTCTGCGATGACAGTCCCTGGATCGCAACACAACAATGGTTGCAAAATATACGGTTCAGTGGAATAATTACCTTTATACAGAATGAACACATTAATAATCTGACGGTGATAACTTGACAGTCACAATATTCCAAACTGAATAAACAACAACACGTCCAGTCTGGACCAGAATTGCCAAACGAACAGTAGCCAGGTTTCATCTAAAAACTCACAGCCAAATCTGGTTCAAACATCAACTTGTAACTTGATTCATTTATCCGCACCACAGACATTGTTCGTGGAACCCAATACGAGACTGACTTTTCTTGCTTATTCTTCAACTTAAGTAATCTTTAATTCCTCCGTGTTTCTTGATCCTTTACTCATGTATATTCATGATTTATTCACTTTGGCTTGTGCCCAGCGCCCAACAATCTGCACGCTTTAAAATCAAATGTGTAACTCGTTTGGCCTCAACCCAATTTGTCTGAACTGAAGTATATAATTTATGTTCAGCCTCTGACCTCATTATTAATGCATACAGTAATTCTCAGGAGAAAATGGACTCCTTACAAAACACATACATTCATATACTAGGCCTGAGGGTTTACAAGACAAACATATCCACTAACATACTAGGCCTGCTGGTTTACAAGACAAACATATCCACTAACAAACTAGGCCTGCTGGTTTACAAGACAAACATATCCACTAACATGCTAGGCCTGCTGGTTTACAAGACAAACGTATCCACTAACATGCTAGGCCTGCTGGTTTACAAGACAAACATATCCACTAACATGCTAGGCCTGCTGTTTTAAAAGACAAACATATCCACTAACATGCTAGGCCTGCTGGTTTACAAGACAAACATATCCACTAACAAACTAGGGCTGCTGGTTTACAAGACAAACATATCCACTAACAAACTAGGCCTGCTGGTTTACAAGACAAACATACCCACTAACATACTAGGCCTGCTGGTTTACAAGACAAACGTATCCACTAACTCACGTGATATACTGAAAGCAAAACATCCCTTGAACTCATCAAACAATTTAGTCAGCAATGTACTCTTTCCACCTCCAGAGGGCCCACTGACAACAATTGGTCGGATCTGTGTGCTCATAATGCTGGAGTGGAGCTTCAGTGTGGATATACAAGCAAAAGGTGCTGCTGATGGAAAACACAATAAATGTATTTTATGCATGATACAGACAGCACATAACAATCTGAATGTTTCCTTCATCTGATATCAACTATCAATGTAACCTTAATCCCAAACAATAACTAAATGTTCCTTTATCTGACATCAACTACTAATGTTACATTTATCTAACATCAACAAATGAATGTAATCTGACATCAACTACTAATGTTACATTTATCTAACATCAACAAATGAATTTAATCTGACATCAACTACTAATGTTAATTTTATCTAACATCAACAATTAATGTTACATTTATCTAACATCAACAAATGAATTTAATCTGACATCAACTACTAAAGTTCCCTGCATGTGACATCAGTAATTTAATGTTCCTTTATCTGACATCAACAACTAATGTTACATTATTCTGACATAAAGAACGGAATGCTCCTTTAATCTGACATCAACAATCAAATGTTCCTTCAAGAACTTCACTTGACATCAACAATTGAATGCTCCCTTTACCTGATATCAACTGAATGTTCCTTTATCTGACATTAACTACTGGATGTTCATTTCACCTGACAACTACTGAATGTTCCTTTATCTGACATTAACTACTGGATGTTCATTTCACCTGACATTAACTACTGGATGTTCCCTTCACCTGAAATCAACAAATGAATGTTCCCTTCACCCGACTACAACTGAATGTTCCTTTATCTGACATTAAATATATAGGGTGATATCTGCAGCAATAAACCTCAAGGGCTTGGAATGCTGAAGAAGAAGCATAGCACCAAATATAGGGTGATATCTGCAGCAATGAACCTCAAGGGCTTGGAATGCTGAAGAAGAAGCATAGCACCAGATATCTAGCCAATAAAGATGCCAGTTATATGCAAATTCAAAGAATGATAACACAGGCATACAGTTATCAACAGTAGCGCTCTCTCCAAGTACATGTAGCAGTGGATATGCACAACTTTAATGCTGGCCCTTCCCCAAGCTACACTCAATAATGATGAGGCTTCACATGGGACAGCAGGAGGCAATATTGATCCGGACAAACTGACAACAGTGCATTTACTGGCATGTGAAGAAGAGAGAAAATCACAGCATTTCTAATTGCAATCATGCAAGATTGGGAAAATTGGTAATTTGCACATGTATGATGGCTGGAATTAGTGGCTCTATGCAGGCAGGCATGATAGCTGGAAAATCAGGTCATGGTCTGTATACATCACAGCTAGAGTGAAAATGGCCAGTGACACCAGAGATAGATGACAAACTTGCTGGTGACACCAGAGATAGATGACAAGCTTGCTAGTGACACTAGAGATAGATGACAAACTTGCTAGTGACACCAGAGATAGATGACAAACATGTTAGTGACACCAGAGATAGATGACAAACATGCTAGTGACACCAGAGATAGATGACAAACTTGCTAGTGACACCAGAGATAGATGACAAACATGTTAGTGACACCAGAGATAGATGACAAACTTGCTAGTGACACCAGAGATAGATGACAAACTTGCTAGTGACACCAGAGATAGATGACAAACTTGCTAGTGACACCAGAGATAGATGACAAACTTGCTAGTGACACCAGAGATAGATGACAAACTTGCTAGTGACACCAGAGATAGATGACAAACTTGCTAGTGACACCAGAGATAGATGACAAACTTGCTAGTGACACCAGAGATAGATGACAAACTAGCTAGTGACACCAGAGATAGATGACAAACATGTTAGTGACACCAGAGATAGATGACAAACTTGCTAGTGACACCAGAGATAGATGACAAACTTGCCAGTGACACCAGAGATAGATGACAAACATGTTAGTGACACCAGAGATAGATGACAAACATGCTAGTGACACCAGAGATAGATGACAAACTTGCTAGTGACACCAGAGATAGATGACAAACATGTTAGTGACACCAGAGATAGATGACAAACTTGCTAGTGACACCAGAGATAGATGACAAACTTGCTAGTGACACCAGAGATAGATGACAAACATGCTAGTGACACCAGAGATAGATGACAAACATGCTAGTGACACCAGAGATAGATGACAAACTTGCTAGTGACACCAGAGATAGATGACAAATGTGCTAGTGACACCAGAGATAGATGACAAACATGCTAGAGACTCTAGAGACAGATGAACCTTCTCCAACTTCTTCAAAACCATCACAGCTTTAGAAATCCCAGATTTAAGAAAGCATCAAGCTATAATAGTAGTCACATTGGTCTCCAATGTAAGCAGTATCTTTGATTTATGGTTTTGTTGTTGTTGCAAAGTTCATTTGGTATGGTAGTGCATCCAGTGGTTCACAGTTATAAACAGTTCATTGTTTTTAAATATATTATTCTTACTTGCATTCCATGTACCATCAGATAAATATGTTAACAGAAAAGATGACACGTAACAGCACTGGATGTTCAAAATCAAAAGATGGTGACTTATTAATGGGACATAGTAATATAATTAACAGATGGACAGAGTATATAGGGGAATTGTATGATGATAATAGACCAGACGTAGAACTGCAGACCAACAATGATGGTCCACCAATAATGACTGCAGAAGTTGAGGATGCAATACATCATATGAAGAAAGGAAAAGCACCCGGGCGAGACAACATCTCACTGGAAGAAATCGAAGCACTGGGAAATTTTGGAATTGAAATAATAACTAAACTTTTCAATTATATTTATAATAGTGGGTATATTCCAAATGACCTTTTAAAATCCATATTTATAGCTCTGCCAAAGAAACCAGGCACTTTAAAATGTGAAGACCATCACACAATAAGTCTTATGAGTCAAATGACTAAGATTTTGCTAAGAATAATTATGAGAAGAATAAGAAACAAAATTAAACCAGAAATCAGCGATGAACAATGTGGATTTGTAGAAGGAAAAGGTACAAACAATGCCATTTACATCCTAAGGACATTGTCAGAAAGAGCTATAGAAGTAAAGACTGATTTGTACTTATGCTTCATAGACTATACAAAAGCATTTGACTGTGTGAAGCATGAAGAAGTAACCAAACTGTTAGAAAAAATTAAACACTGATGGGAAAGATCTATGAATAATAAAGAATATATATTGGCAGCAAACAGCAGCTATAAGAATAAACAATTGTTTAGGTACATCTCAAAGCACAAAGAGGGTTGTACAACAAGGATGTGTACTGTCCCCTGATTTGTTTTCAATATACAGTGAATATATAATAAGAGCTTTAATTGGTATGCCCGGAGTTGTGGTTGGTGGGCACAATATAAACAATTTACGTTATGCTGATGACAGTCTTGATAGCAACAAGTCAGAAAGAATTACAGGAAATGATAGACATTGTGGTGTTAGAAAGTGGAAGAATGGGTTTCAGTTTGAATAACGGGAAGACAGAAGTAATGGTGGTATCAAAGAAACAAATCATTCCTAAATGTGTAATAAAAGTCGATGGTGTTATTTTAGGACAAGTACAGAAATTTAAGTATCTGGGCACATGGATAACATCAGATGAAAGATGCATAACTGAAATAAGAAACAGAATTGGACAGGCAAAAACTGCATTTTATAAAATGAAAATCATCTTGTGCAATATATCCTTGTCATTGAGAGTTAGAAAAAGAATTCTTGCTTGCTACATACATCCAGTTTTAACATATGGCTGTGAATCCTGGGCAATCGGTAGGCAGGCCAAACAATTTTTAGAGGCCTCAGAGATGTGGTTTTACAGAAGAATGCTTAGAATACCTTGGACAGCCAAAAAGAGCAACCAAGAGGTTTTGAAAGAGGCGGGAGCCCGAAGACAACTTATCACAGACATCAGATGGAGACAGTCATCATATTTCGGCCATGTTATGAGAAGAGGGAAAATAGAACATGTTGTGACCACTGGAAAGATTTGTGGAAGGAGGGATAGAGAAAAACAATGAGAGAAGATGCTTGACAGTCTTGTTGCATGGCATGAGGGTGTGTCGGCACACGAACTGATACATGCTGCAGATTATGGAGAGGCATGATCGCCCACGCCAGTCGGCAAGGCACCTGATGATGATGATGATTCTTACTTGCAGTAAAATGAAATTTGGCATTTATTTAACTGTATGTTTGAAAAGTTTCATCCTGCAATTTTTGACTCCAAGCTTTTCTAAAAATTACACCTCAGCGATGCAAAAAATAGCAGGGTTACCTATGATGATGCAAATTTTTTTTAGTGTATTGACATCAATTTAAAATATTGAATAACCCCCTCAGTTACAGCAAATGCATACCCAAACTCACCATCCAGTGCAATATTGAAGTTCAATTATTCATCATTGTAAAACCTGATATTTTACAACATATGTGGGACAGTGACGCAATGTGGACATTATACTGAGCAATTTCACTGCTAAGCAACATACACATATCATACATCAAAGTGACCAGGCATTGTGGGCGACTGCTACAACAAAAAATTGCATTAGTAATTAAATATTAGTAAATAAACAGACAGTATGTTCACAGAAATTAGTAACATGAAATTTTAAAATGTCCACTTACTACTATGCCACTCAAGGAAAACTCACCAAAAAATATTCAAATTGACTCACAGATGAATATGAATCACTTAGTAATGCATAAGAGTCGCCGTGGTGTAGCGGCCAGGCGCTCGTCTGCGGATCAGAAGGTTGTAGGTTCGCTTCCTTGCGGAGCCAGACTTTTTTCAAAAATGATCTTGACTCCTAGGTCAACCCAGCCTTGAGTGGGTATCGGGTGCAGTCCTGGGAAGTAAAGGCGGCCAGCACAATTCTGACCACATCACCCATCTTGTGCCGAATGGTCTATATAATATAGGTCTAGCCCTATATACCCTAAAGGCGTGGAAAAGGGACCTCTACTTCTTGACTTAGCGATGAATAAGTAAAATATTCAATCAATCTGTGCATAAGATGAGGTTCCAAAGAATCTTTTGAAGCATCGTAACAGAGCACCATTATTTGATAAAGAAAACTGGCTTTATAAAACAGTTAGCATCTTCACACAAAATTAGGCTTATATAACACTCAATTTGCCTGTAATTTTGCAGCCGTGTTCCTAAATAATAAGGGAAACTGCACTGGAACTAATTTACACAGAAGAAAATCGCCCTTTCTCTAGTATTTATTCTATTTGTGTCAGCTAACTTTCTATCATTGTACCCTTCGCGTGAGGTATACATTAGACCTATCCCTCATCAAAGCTTGACTATAAATGACTTTAACAAGTCTACTTCGCAACTTCATCTATCTAACTTCAGATAAATCTAATAAACGTGTGCTTTATTTAAATTTGAGGCTTCTAAAGCAGTAAATCATGTTGGCATGCATGTAGAGCATTGCTCAATGGCCATATTGTTTTCAAACAAACACATGTCCACCTCGTTACTCCAAACATACAGTATACATCTTGCAATTTGTATAGGTTAATTAGGCCCATATTACATCATATGTATTCAACTAAGAAATGCATACGCTAGGCCTCACTGCCCCAATTGCAATGATATATAGTTACTAAGGGATCCGTGCAAAATCACAATAGTTATTGCCATAAAATTCAAACATTTAGTCATTTCAACCTTTACTAGGACACAGCTCGGAATTAATCTTTTGTCACATTAGACTAATTTGTCTATGGTGGTAGCCGCCACTAAAATGTTAACATCTCGGCTAAGAATTGACTTACACTGTAATTTAATTTGTCTATGGTGGTACCCGCCACTAAAATGTTAACATCTCCGCTAAGAATTGACTTTCACTGTAATTTGTCTATGGTGGTACCCGCCACTAAAATGTTAACATCTCCGCTAAGAATTGACTTAAACAGTAATTTGTCTATGGTGGTACCTGCCACTAAAATGTTATCTCCGCTAAGAACTGACTTACACTGTAATTTGTTTATGGTGGCAGCCGCCACTAAAATGTTAACATCTCGGCTTAGAATTGACTTACACTGTAATTTGTCTATGGTGGTAGCCGCCACTAAAATGTTAACATCTCCGCTAAGAATTGACTTACACTGTAATTTGTCTATGGTGGTACCCGTCGCTAAAATGTTAACATCTCCGCTAAGAATTGACTTAAACAGTAACTTGTCTATGGTGGTAACCGCCACTAAAATGTTAACATCTCCGCTAAGAATTGACTTTCACTGTAATTTGTCTATGGTGGTACCCACCACTAAAATGTTAACATCTCCGCTAAGAATTGACTTACACTGTAATTTGTCTATGGTGGTACCCGCCGCTAAAATGTTAACATCTCCGCTAAGAATTGACTTACACTGTAATTTGTCTATGGTGGTAGCCGCCACTAAAATGTAAACATCTCGGCTTAGAATTGACTTTCACTGCAAGTTACAGGCTTCACTATAATATCATTGGATTGGTTATTTTAATCTCTATCCAGCTGTGATGAAGTAAAATAGGGTTTCATTCATTCATTCAGTAGCATGTCCCTCGCGGAACCTCGCTGCCATAACAACCCTCCGGAAAACCTTCCTATCATGAGCAAGATGTCCTGCGTCTGATACACCCATCTGGAGATCATCTGCCACATCCTGCACCCATCTTCTCCTTGGCCTTCCTCTTCCTCTCTTCCTAGGCATATACCCCTCCATTATTGTTCTCTCTAGACTTCCATGACGTTTCAAGTGACCAAAATATTTCAATTTTCTTTGTTTTATTGTCTTTACTAGCCAACCCTCTTCAATATTCAGCTCTTGAAGTATGGATGCATTTGTTCTTTTCTTTACCCAAGATATTCTTAGAACCTGTCTGTAACATTTATATTCAAATGCATTTATGCGCTGTTCCGCTTGTTTAGTAAGTGTCCAGGTCTCACAGGCGTATGTTGCAATGGGAAGATGCATGCTCTTAAAAATCTGACCTTTGTAATTCTATCTGTACAATTCCATAATTTATTCAGTTGTTTTTAGTCTTTGAAGAGCAATTGATAGTCGCCGTTTAATTTCTTTCATTGTGTCACCATTGTTGGTAACCAGTGACCCAAGATATTCGAAATTTTCCACCACTTCCAATCTTTCCTCATTAACATATATTTCCTTCTCCATGGCAGTTTTGTTTGTATGCATTATCTTTGTTTTTGCTATGTTAAGAAATAAGTTATGATTTTCACTATTTCTTTGGAGTGAGGTTAATAAGTTTTCTAAACCATTTTGTGATGTTGATAGTAATACTGTATCATCAGCATAACGAATTTCTGGTATTTCATGACCACCGATGTTTAGGGCATCATATTGTTCCTTGTTTATATCATCTCTTACATTTCTCATTATATTTTCGGCGTACAGGTTGAACAAATACGGTGACAGCACACATCCCTGACGGACTCCTTGCTTGATGCCAAACCAGTCTGATGTCTCTCCATCTATTCTGACTGCTGCTTGTTGGTCTTGATAGAGCATTTTAATGAGCTGCACTATATGTGATGGAAAGGAAATAGGGTTTAGGAAGGGGTTAAATGAAGAATGTATACATTCAGACCAGCAACAATGCACATCAACCCATCATCACTGGGTGGCATGATTGAAAACGGTGATTAGAACGCTGGTCAGACAAGGCCAAACAGATACGCCTTTGGGGAGTACATAGGAACAGGTGCACAGACCAGGGTTGAATAGAGTACATTTATCCAAATGAAGCCGTGAAATCTGACACTGATGGATGTAAACGCATGATAGCAGGCAAGCCAGCAAACTAGATGAGAACGCTGGTCAGGAAAGACTACAAGAAGATGACCAGGGACTGCGATCAGCAAGTACACAATGGGGAAGGATGCAGGAAGATAAGACAGACAGACGATAGCATCGAGCAGTGCAAACAACCACCCTGGGACGATACGAGTGAAACAGGTGGAGGGAGAGAAAAAGAACGGGGGAAGAAATCAAGCGAGCGAGGGCAGGAGAGAAAGGACAGTCGGTGCCTGGACACTTAAGAGGGCAGTTGACAAGAACTTATGCTGGTCAGTAGAATGAATATAGTAAACCTGATTTTGCTTCGCTAGAAGAGATATTAAGGAACTTATCGTCACATATGAATAGCCAGCAATAATATATTGAAGTATTCCTTCTGTTGTTTAAATGAAATATATTCGTTCTGCTTAAATTGACTTTATAGTTATATTGTTTAAAAAATAAACTTATTACTTTTTACTAGGGCTGTACCCAATATTCGCTTCGGGGCCGAATAGTGGACCTATTGACTATTCAGTATTCGGCCAAATAGTTGCGGTCGGGCTGAATACGAATAGTGGTTACTTTACACCCGCTTATGCATACACGGCCTTAATGCAGCTTTCATGCATTAACTAAGCTGTCAGTGACAATTTCCAAGTTTAGTTACTTGTTATAATACTTAGGATTCTTTCATTCCTAGTTATTAGTTACCACAGACTGATTGAAGGATGCAAAACATAAAATGCTTTTAAATGTTTAGTATTCTGTACGAATACTAACTAGACATGGAAAGAATATAAACTCCGTCCAAATCCAAGTCGATAATATGAAAATCAAACGAACGGAAACATATAAGTAATTTGGTGCAAACTTCAACTGCTCCAACATGCCGAGAGAAGAATTACAATCTAGAAATAAAGTATACTATGCCCTTAAACATCTGCTAAAGTCAAAGTGTCTGTCTCGCAACACCAAGATCAAAACATATAAAACGTTGATAAGACCAGTCGTTTTATATGGCTATGAAACTTGAAGCAGAAATAAAAGAGATGAGGCCTTATTACAGGTTTTCGAAAACAGTCTTACGACAAATCTTTCGACCCATCAAAGATGCTAACATCGGGGAATGGAGAGGAAGAAACAACAATGTAACACATAATCTGTTTAAATCATCATTGATCACTGGCATCATGAGAGCTAACAGACTATAATGGTTGGGGCATATTGAAAGAATGTCAGATGGCAGAGAAGTAAAAACTGTATACACCTGAGAGAGGAATGGACGTAAACCACAAGGGAGACAAAAAAAGAAGTTCAAGAGATAATGTCCAGCCAGACCTGCAAGCAACTGGTGTCACAAATTGTGAAGATAAGGCCGACCAGAGAGATGAATGGAGACGAGTAATATCTGCAGCAGTAAACCTCAAGGGCTCAAAATGCTAAAGAAGAAGATGACTATTATGTGCTACTTTATGTGAAGTAAAAGTTCAGCGTACATTTGATATTATGATCGTTTTTTTTTAAAGATATATTTTATACACTATTCGTATTCGGCCAAATAGTGAAAATCACTATTCGGAATAGCCCTACTTTTTACCAATCGATTGTTACATCAATGGCTGTGTTGTTAAACACAATCAAGAGACTTATGAAACTTATCATATATACTATGTTCAGAATTAGGCACATCTGAATAAGCTTGGGAGATGAGAAATATACAACTGTGTCACAGTGACAGTTTCATAAAAACACAATATTTAAAACTTCACTAGAAACTCTATCTCTATCTCTAGTGTTACAAATGTGAAATTTCAAAACTGCATATTGAGAGTATAAGTATCATTATTTATTTAATTTACCCCACAAAATCAATATCTCGCCTTGAACTAACCTACAGTTGAATGTTATCAGGAAGCGTTGGATTTCATTTTCTAAGTGGAGATCAATGTTGGTATAGCGTACAAAATGTGACTATGTCACTTATTTTTACCGACTCCTTGTGAATGACGATTCACTGGTTTAATTTTGTGAATTCAAAACGCCAAAAATATATGGGAAATTAGGTGTTTTGCGGATACCAATTTTGTGTGTGCGTGTACTGTGTGCTGTGGGTTCATCCTACAGGAGATTCAGACTGCGTCTGGGGGAACAAGCATTCCTCCTGTCGCCGAGTATAACAAACTGAGTCATCAGCAAGTATTAAACACAGGGTGTGTGGACAACTTACCCGCGATTAGAAGTGTCCGGGTGGCCGGGGTAGATTTGAGACTGGTGAACGCGAGACGTGTCGTGGCCTGTCCCGGGGATGTGAGATAGATAAGGCGTGTCGTGGTCTGAGATGTGAGGAGACGGGTCGGGGCCCACATGTGGACAGAGCGTCATTCAACGAACGGCCAACAAGCAACGAGCAACAAGCTGGCGGCCGGGCGCTTCCTGCCGCTCGTCTGCTGCCGCACATCGACTACTACATTCACTCGATTACTGGACTCGGTTCACTCGATTACCGGAGTGCCCGTGAAGAAGCCCATTTTCAAAATTGTGGCCCCAAAGTAAACTTAAAATGACCTTTGACACCCAGGGACAGGTTAAACCATCAAAACTAAATATTTTTTTCAAAGTTGTGAAATGTTACTTTTTTTTTTTTTACACTACATGAAAGTGTTGCAAAATTGCAAGAGTTACAGGCAACTGAAGACAAAGTGACTGACTGGTGTGCAGAAATGGTTGCTGTCGTCAACTCAGAAAAGGGAAAAGGCGGCTGTTTCGTGGTACTCTCTGGACAACAGAATTGTAAATTCTAACGTTCCAAACCTCACAGTTAATAATAGTAACATCAAAAGAGAAACGCAAACGGAGGTACCTGGGTATCATTTTCGATATACGCCTGTCTTTCAGGGATCATGTAGAGGTAGTTGCAGTGAAATGCCAAAAAAGGACTCAATGCTCTTAAGATTATGGCAGCAATGGACATGGAACACAAAATTGTGTTCACAATGTTTCAGCATGTGAACCTGTCGGTAATAGATTATGGACTTGGCATGCTTACCATATCAAACAGTCAGCTGGTGAAACTTGAACGCATACAGAATGAAGTCATGCGGGTTATTCAGTGATGTACAAGAGAAACTCCGGTAGTATGTCTGCGATATACAAGGTCTGACAATAAGGTAATGAGACTAATTTCATACAAATGAAAATAATAAACAGTTAAAGATATAGCCCGTATCTGATTCAAAGTAAGCCCCTTGTGCGTTGATACAGCAAATAGCACGATCTAACAAACACTGGAACGACCTCTGTATCTGTTGTTATGGCCATTAAAGTCGATGTTACAACCCTTTGGCTGTCATCAATATCGTTAAAGAAGCGTCGTTTCCATCGTAACTTTAATTTTTGGAATAGAAAATAATTACAGGGAGACAAATTTGGGGATTAGGATGGAAGGCTGAGAACACACACTTGTTTTTACACCAAAAAGTCTTGTTTTGATGATGTCTCTTTTGTACTCAACCGGCTTCTTCTTCTTCTTTCGTTCGCCTGAAATAAGTTGTCTATATCAGCAATTTTGTCTCTTGTATAAATTTCACTGTTGTTGTTAATTCATTCAGTGGTCCATAGAGTAAACGTTCCACTTTTGTTCTTTCTGCCCAAAAGGTTTGCCTTAATGTGTCAAATTTGGTGCAGTCCTGGAGTACATACTCTGCTGTCTGGGGCACCTTTCCACAGGTGCACATGGCTGATACGCCTATCTTGAATTTTGTGTACATGTGGTTACGTAAACGGTTGTGCCCTGTTCTGAGGCGGAGGATAGTGACTTGTTCTGATCTGTCCATAATAAAATAGTCGTCTTGTGCTGGGGCTGGTGGTTTCCTGATTTATTTAATGATTCTTTTCTTTTGGTGGTATGTGACTGGTACATCCGGCTGAACTTTTGTCGCACCTTCTCCTGCCAGATGATCAGCTTTCTTGTTTCCAGGCACACCACAATATGATGGTATCAACCGGCTGATGTTTTTGGTAATCAGACAACGAATGTTATCCAAACCAGCAAGCAAATTTTGTCTTGCCAAAATCTTGCACTAAAATGTTATGAATGGTCTCTCTATCAACACCAGATTTATCTGCCATCATCCTCACAGTAAAACAATGATCTTCTTGTATCCGTTCTCTGACTTTTGCTATGAGTTATCATTAGGAACAGAATTTTGGTGTTAGTAATCATTTCCACACCACTTTTGAATAGTGAATACCACCTGAAAATGTGTACATGAGATAAACAATTATCCCCATAAACCTGTTGCATCAATTCAACTGTTTAAATAGTGCTTTTTCTGAGTTTTAAAAAGAATTTAATGTTAGCTTTTTGATCCGTGCAGATTACCTAACAATTCACCTCTGACTAGGTCAAGAAAATGTTGGTTTGTTTGTTGTCTGCTTATCGAGCGGCGACAAAAAGTTGAAAGATCATAGACGAATGTTACCTCTTTAGATTTAATGCTTTGCTTCAAAGATGGCATTTTTGTCTTGGCCATAATAAAATCAGTCTCATTACTTAATTGTCGGACCTTGTATACTTGCACTGCCTACTATTGGAGGTAGGCTCAAAGTTCTGCAAGCAAAGTCATATCTCAGAGTAACTTCGGACAAGAGGCACCTCCTGCGTGAAGCCTTAGGTAGAGCTAAGGGTCATAGACTGAACAGAGGAAAGTCTTGGATGGCGCTAGCTGAAGACACAATTGGACAAGTGTGCAGGCTTCATGAATTTGTGCGAGGAGAGGAGTGGGTCAAGGTAGTCCGATTAGGTTTCAGATTTGTGTAGGGTTCTAATCACTTAGAGACGTGAGTGCAGAGAATGGCCAGCTGGTGTTGCAGAATCAGAAGTTCAACAAATGTTTCATGACAATTCCCGCCCAAGTGATGTCATTATCTATACAGATGGCTCAGTGTTGAGGGGCAGACGAAGTGCATGGGCGTTCCTATCGAAGGCGAATTCGCGTCTCTTGGTCCAACAAAGCCTGGCATATGATATCACAATGTCTAGTTTGAGAACGAAGGTGGAGGCAGTCACTGCTGCCTTCCGCTGGCTTGAGAATCAGCTGTACACATATGTCGTCATTGTAACCGACTCACAGAGCATGCTGAGAAAGGTGGAGACAGGCATGCTCCATGCAGAGTGGCAAGCATCACTTCAGAGGTCCCGGGTGATTAGCATTCTTTGTGTATTTTCTCCAGGTATGCCGGTGTGTTGGGAAATGAGCAGGTAGATAGACATAGCCGGTTTTGCACCACTTGGTGGTGAACTCATGTATGACAAGCTGGATGTTGTGAGGGCCCTTTTGGAGCTAGTGAACAGTGCCGAGGAACTAACAGATCATTGCGGTCTGAGGAGAATGGCACTGCGAGATCTGGTCGACGCTCAACACTCAGGGAAAGGCGAGACACATATACAATCGGACAGTTACTAGTACAATCGGAATTTTAACTCTTCTCTTGCTGCTAAAGACGGGGATGGAGCGCTTATGGAGGTGTCCCGAGAGCTGTGATGTTGATTCTTAATTCAACCTGAAAGTAATTTTAATCAATTTTTGACAATGGCATGGTAACGGTCTATTTACTCAATTAAATAAGCAAGAAAACATAGACTTTTATAATCATGAGGAAGTACACACAAATATGCAAACTGTCATAACTCGGTTATTTATCAACCCCCTTTAATAATTATTTCGCCCATTTGTTAGAAATTGTAAAATAAGTGGAATAGCCTAATCTATGTAATCCATGTTGGAAGACATAGGCTGGAAATAGCCGTGTATGATGCTGTTATTACACATAATGAAAGAGAACTGGTCATGTCAAAGCTGTGGCATTAGTGTTTCCACATGTTGTAGATTTGATCAGGCACATGAAAGAGCAAAAGAGCAGCTGAAAATGGATAAGAAGATAAAAAGAGCAAGGTAAAGTATTCAGACAGCTGAGGAATACCCTGAAGATGACTCACATGCAGCAGTCATATATATTAAGCCACGGATTTCAACTATGTACCATGCTTTAGGAAAAAAATTTATATTTGGATAAGCTGAAGATATAAAGGTAAAGGTCAAGTCGGGAGATGTGAACCAGCGTCATTGCACACGGTTATAAACCATAAGTGCTCTGCCACCAGTACGGACAGCTGATAAGAAACTGTCCGCCTGTGTCGCCGTTCGCAAGCAACTCCATAGCTACAGCGACGTTCCTCCGTTTACTCAGTGTGTTAACTCTGGTACCCATTTGCTAGAGGCTAGGGGAACCCCGGGAACCGCCCTGTTTCAAACACCGGCCGTAGGCTGCAGAGAGTTGCAGCTGTATTTAAAAGCGAATCTCCTATCGACTGCGTTAAGGTGGCCCCGAAGATATAATCGTGAGTAAATATCACTATTCGATAGGTGAGGAATGTCTCTGCCGGAGCGACATTATGAGAGTATGATGCGATGCTTCAGGGTTGAACTGCACGAGAAGCTGAACGTCGCGACTCCAGTGGTAAGCTGGACGCACGCTAGTGTGCATTGAAGGGTGGCTACCGCGTGCACCACTGGAAGGTCCTACACTGGCAATGACAAGATCGTTTCTTTGGATTTTACTTGAGCAGACTGGATGAAGGGTAAGGGGGGAAATAATGCATCATAATCTTATGCCTGAGAAATAAAAAGTTGTTTATGATGCTCAGGAATGTGCCCTGAGTTGAAGGCCAGTTTGGCAATGGGGTGGGTACATTGTTTTGTGTGCGATGATTAGTGGTGGCCACAGGTGATGTTAAAGGTACTTCTGTACCGGGCACTGAATACTGTGTGAGCTGTGCATATTTTACATTTGTGTGTGTGTGTGCCAAAATACTGATGCCTAATTTACAGCAGTTTATTTGGTCTGGATACAGCCTTTTCAACGAGGTGAAGTTTGGGCTGTGATTAATGAAAGAAATACTGATGTCTGCATTAAACATACAAGTTAGAAGCTACAGAGGAGCTGAGTGTCAGAGTGACCACCACCTGGTTGGTGCGAATTTAAAAATATCAAGTTAAACAGATCCTTCTACACCAAGTTGCAAACCAGAGTACACAAAAGAGATAAATTACAAGAAACATCCATATCAGAGAAATTTGCAGAGTTAAAACATAAGAATGAAATTTTATAAATTCTGCCAGAGGAAGATGTTGACCAAAATGGGATGGATATTAAGAATACAATTCAAACCACTGCAGAAGAAAGTCTTAGTGTGTCCACCATAAACAGAAAGAACAAATGGTTCGATACAAAATGTAAATAAAGCAGTCAGTAAGAAAAACATGCCAGGCAGATTTGGCTAAATGATACTATAACATACCAAATGAAGAAACATATAAAATTGTCATGGATATGGAAGCTAACCATCAGAACAACGAATCCAGAAAGTTTTTAAAGAACTGAAGACTGTAAAATGAGGACATCAACAAAGCATTTATAGTTTAATAGATCACAATGGGAACATGATAAATAATAATGAGGAAATATTTAACAGATGGAATGAATACTTATCCACAGGATGAGATATTAACATGTGAACCAAATATTGAAGAGCCTGATTTCGAAGTACTGTATGCCATAACACGGCTTAAAAATAATTAAGCAACTGGCGCTGATGGAATTGCAGTTGAACTTTTAAAATAAGCTGGTCATGCATTACATGTAAAGATATATGAAATAAAACTAATTTGGAAGATGAAGAAATTACCCCATGAATGGAAAGTGTCGTTATTAATACTAATTTTTTAAGAAAGGATTTGATTCAAGAACCGACATCACAGCACTCAGGGCATTTCCATAAACGTTTCGCCCAGATCTTTAGAAGCCAGCGAAGAGTTCCAATACTAATGGTGCCAGTAGCATTCAGATTTAACGTTTGCCTTGCCTTTCCTCTGAGCCTCGAGCATTTGCCAGAACCTCTCATCACTTCCCGCTGCATCAATCTCACCAGACTGTAGTGATCCATCTGCTCCTCCGAACTGTACATGCTCTCCAACAAGGCCCTAACACGTCTACCTCATCATGTATCAGTATTCAACCAAGATGTGCAGAGCCAGCCAATCTGTCCGCCTGTTCATTTCCTAACACACTGGCGTTCCCTGTGAAAATATCCAGACAATACTCCTCACCCGTGTAATCCGCAGCGTGCCACTTTACACGAAGCATGCCTGTCCTGATCTTCATCAGCATGCTTTCTGAGTCAGTTACAATCACGATGTGTGTGTGTGTGTGTCGTGTTCTCTAACCAGTGGAAAACTGCAGTGACCGCTTTCACTCTTAAGCTGGATGTTGTGGTATCATATGCTAGGCTCTCCTGCACCAAACGTCGACCATTAATTTTTGCTAAGAAGCCCCAAGAACTACTTTTTCCTCTTGGCACTGAACTGTCTGTGTAAATGATCAAATCCTCTGAGCGAGCATTATCTTAAATTAATTGCTGAATTTCCATCTCCATGGCACCTGCTGGCCAGTCTCTGCATGATTATGACCTTACACAAGTCTGACTGTTCAGGTGGCACTTTGACCCACTCCTCTCCTAATGTTTTCAAGGATGGAAACCTGTCTGTCTTCGGCCTGAGCTATCCATGACTTCCCTCTTATCAGCCGCTGACCCTTAACTGCACCCAAAGCTTCGTGCAAAGGGTGGTCTGTGTCTGCACAGATCTGTGAGATATGACTTCACCTGCAGCACTCTGTGCCTACCTGCAACAGTTGGCAAATCAAGGATGTATCGCATACACAACACTGGAGTGTATCTGGTGCAACCCAGAATGACCCGCATAGATGCTTTCTGTATGCACTCTAGTTTGTCCATCTGACTCTTTGAGACGGTAAGCAGTCCTAGGCCATAATCAACCACTGTTAGGATCAGGTGCTGATATAGTGTGAAAAGCATTCTCTTCTCTGTCAATTGTAACCATAGTCTTAGTTGCACTAAGTCCTTATTGACATCTTGTCACAACACTCTCCACATGGTCCTTAACTCTTTGAGCCCCAGGGGGTTTAGCATCACAGTCCCAAGGGGTAGTCAACAGAGACATAAAATCGGCGCATCATGTGTTCGTTGGGCTTCTAGGTAGGAATCTATGAACGTATGATGCGTTCCTTGGGACTTGAAGAGTTAAAGGACAGGCTCCTGTCAAATGTAATTCGCAGATACTTCAGTTTGCACTTTGTTGACTCGTGAGACTTGGGACGTTAGCTTTAACGACCCTGTTGTCCAGAGAACACCACAAAACAGACGCCTTTTCCAAGTGGACGACAGCCCTCATTTCTGTTAACCACTCAGTCACTTTGACTACTGTCACTTGTAGCTCCCGGGCTGTTTGTTCCCTCTTTTCCCCCTGCCTATATGCAAGTATATCATCAGTAAAAGTCAGTATCTTTCCAACTCCTGGTGTTTCTAGGCTTGCAATCTTGCTCGTATATACGTTAAAGAGCACAGGCGAGATGGCGGATCCCTGTGGCCAAACTAAATGGTTCTGAGGTCCAGGAGCCCATTTGAAGAGCAACCAGATGTGAATACAGGACAGCTGCAACCCAATTCACCATCCATGGACTGACCTCCTCCTCCTTCAGTGTGGTCATCAAGATGTATCTTACTTTGTTATAAGCATCCTCGAGATCCAGTATTACCACCATAGTTTTCTGTCTGTTCTGTTTTAAGAAAGGAGACAAGTGTTAAGTGTGAAAATTAAAGAGGAATATCACTGTTGTCTACAAGCTATCAGATACTATCAGCAGCACTGCTAAACAGGCTAAAACCATACGACAATGGCATATTGGGAGATTACCATGCGGCCACATAAAAATCAATATGAAAATCAAACGAACGGAAACATATAAGTACTTGGGTGCAAACTTCAACTGCTCCAACATGCTTAGAAAAGAAATACAATCTAGAATACAATCTGGAAATAAAGTATACTATGCCCTTCAACATCTGCTCAAGTCAAAATGTCTCTCTCGAAACACACCCAAGATCAAAATGTATAAAACGATTAGACCAGTCATGTTATATGGCTCTGAAATTTGGAGCACAACTAAAAGAGAGGAAGCCTTATTACACGTTTTCGAAAACAAAGTCTTACGGCGAATCTTTGGACCCATGAAAGATGCAAACAGTGGTGAATGGAGAATGAGAAGCAACAATGAAATTCATAATCTGTTTAAATCACCACTGATCACAGGCATCATGAGAGCTAATGGACTGAAATGGTTGGGGACATTGAAAGAATGTCAGATGACAGAAGAACTGTACACCAGGGAGATGAATGGTCGTAGACCATGAGGCAGACCAAGAAGACGACGGTGAGAAGACAGTCCTGCAAACACTTGGTGTCACCAACTGGAAAGAGAGGGCCAACCAGAGAGATGAATGGAGGCAGGTGATATCTGCAGCAATGAACCTCAAGGGCTCGGAATGCTGAAGAAGAAGGTTTCTGGGCAGAATTTCTGTAATGTGAGATTGGCTGCATCTGCAATGTGCCTCCGATAGCCATAGAAGAGAGAAATAAGTGAGCAAAAATATTTCAGAATTAGGACATTTTGCGCCAACAGTGTGGATAATTGTGAGGTGCTTATGATCTGATTGCTGATGTTGACACCCACATGAACTGTAGTTTTAATATTACCACTGGAATGGAATCAATTTGATGTCACAATAATCACATCAATATTGGCACCTGGCAAAGAATGGACTGCCACTGTTTGATTGTGCCAGGTTGCCATACCGTCACTGTAGATTTCTCTCACGAAGGAATGGCCCGTGATGAGAAGTGTGATGCTAGAGTCTGATACCTGATGCAGCCGCGACCGTCTGGAGCACTGTTGCTGCTACTGGTGACTTCATTTGGATGTTGGTGTGCACTTAAGTGGGATGTCATGCCGACTGTTAGTCCAGGGATCAGGAAACATAAGCCTTGTAGTTCATTATCCACACTCATTGCCTGGAACCTGTGGCTTACATGTACCCCAATTGGGTATATGGATGGTGTTCTTTCCATAGGCAGATATGTGGTTTTTGTGTGGTTGACTGTTGGTGGCTTGCATTATTCACACATAATAAATCACTTTTATTGACAGTGTCTGGCTCTGTAGTGCTGTCCTTTCACAAGGCACTTTTCAACTCAGTGATTGCTTTAAAAAAGCACACACCGGAGGGGAGTGACAACACACCGGAGGAGAATGACAACACACAGGAGTAGAGTGATTACACACTAGGAGGAATGGCAACACACCGGAGGGGAATGACAACTCACAGGAGGAGAGTGACAACACTGAAGGAGAATGACAACACTAGAATAGTTCCACAACCCCTCCCCAACATTTTATTTCAAATTAAATTTACAACAGATTATACAATTTTTTAATTATTTATCACATGGTGTTGCATACATGAAAAAATGGACCACACATTGCACAGCATACTGCTGTCAGTACACAAGTCTTATCTCTCTCTCACACAGTGGAAAACTGCTAATCAGATAAGTCTTTCACTCACAGAGTGACAAAATGCTTAAACAGATAACTCCCCCTCTTTCACAGTGGCAAACTGCTGGAACAAATAACCCTCTTCCTCTCTCACACACAGAGTGGCAAACTGCTAGAACAGATAACCCTCTTTCTCACACACAGAGTGGCAAACTGCTGGAACAGATAACCCTCTTTCTCACACACATAGTGGCAAACTGCTGGAACAGATAACCCTCTTTCTCACACACATAGTGGCAAACTGCTAGAACAGATAACCCTCTTTCTCTCTCACACACAAGAGTGGCAAACTGCTGGAACAGATAACCCTCTTCCTCTCTCACACACAGAGTGGCAAACTGCTGGAACAGATAACCCTCTTCCTCTCTCACACACAGAGTGGCAAACTGCTGGAACAGATAACCCTCTTCCTCTCTCACACACAGAGTGGCAAACTGCTGGAACAGATAACCCTCTTCCTCTCTCACACACAGAGTGGCAAACTGCTGGAACAGATAACCCTCTTCCTCTCTCACACACAGAGTGGCAAACTGCTGGAACAGATAACCCTCTTCCTCTCTCACACACAGAGTGGCAAACTGCTGGAACAGATAACCCTCTTCCTCTCTCACACACATAGTGGCAAACTGCTGGAACAGATAACCCTCTTCCTCTCACACACAGAGTGGAAAACTGCTGGAACAGATAACTCTCTTCTTCTCTCACACAAAGTGGCAAACTGCTGGAACAGATAACTCTCTTCTTCTCTCACACAGAGTGGCAAACTGCTGGAACAGATAACCCTCTTCTTCTCTCACACAGAGTGGCAAACTGCTGGAACAGATAACTCTCTCGCTCACACACACACAGAGTGGCAAACTGCTGGAACAGATAACTCTCTCGCTCACACACACACACAGAGTGGCAAACTGCTGGAACAGATAACCCTCTTCTTCTCTCACAGAGTGGCAAACTGCTGGAACAGATAACCCTCTTCTTCTCTCACACACACAGAGTGGCAAACTGCTGGAACAGATAACCCTCTTCTTCTCTCACACAGAGTGGCAAACTGCTGAAACAGATAACTCTCTTCTTCTCTCACACAGAGTGGCAAACTGCTGGAACAGATAACCCTCTTCTTCTCTCACACACATAGTGGCAAACTGCTAGAACAGATAACCCTCTTCTTCTCTCTCACAGAGTGGCAAACTGCTAGAACAGATAACCCTCTTCTTCTCACACAGAGTGGCAAACTGCTAGAACAAATAACCCTCTTCCTCTCTCACACACACATAGTGGCAAACTGCTGGAACAGATAACCCTCTTCTTCTCTCTCACACACAGAGTGGCAAACTGCTGGAACAGATAACCCTCTTCTTCTCTCACACAGAGTGGAAAACTGCTGGAACAGATAACCCTCTTCTTCTCTCACACAGAGTGGAAAACTGCTGGAACAGATAACCCTCTTCTTCTCTCACACAGAGTGGCAAACTGCTGGAACAGATAACCCTCTTCTTCTCTCAGAGTGGAAAACTGCTGGAACAGATAACCCTCTTCTTCTCACACACAGAGTGGCAAACTGCTGGAACAGATAACTCTCTTCTTCTCTCACACAGAGTGGCAAACTGCTGGAACAGATAACCCTCTTCTTCTCTCACACAGAGTGGCAAACTGCTGGAACAGATAACTCTCTTCTTCTCTCACACAGAGTGGCAAACTGCTGGAACAGATAACCCTCTTCTTCTCTCACACAGAGTGGCAAACTGCTGGAACAGATAACCCTCTTCTTCTCTCACACAGAGTGGCAAACTGCTGGAACAGATAACCCTCTTCTTCTCTCACACAGAGTGGCAAACTGCTGGAACAGATAACCCTCTTCTTCTCTCACACAGAGTGGCAAACTGCTGAAACAGATAACCCTCTTCTTCTCTCACACAGAGTGGCAAACTGCTAGAGCAAATAACCCTCTTCTCTCACACAGAGTGGAAAACTGCTGGAACAGATAACTCTCTTCTTCTCTCACACAGAGTGGCAAACTGCTGGAACAGATAACCCTCTTCTTCTCTCACACAGAGTGGCAAACTGCTGGAACAGATAACTCTCTCGCTCACACACACACACAGAGTGGCAAACTGCTGGAACAGATAATCCTCTTCCTCTCTCACACAGAGTGGCAAACTGCTGGAACAGATAATCCTCTTCCTCTCTCACACAGAGTGGCAAACTGCTGGAACAGATAACTCTCTCGCTCACACACACACACAGAGTGGGAAAACTGCTGGAACAGATAACTTTCTCGCTCACACAGAGTGGGAAAACTGCTGGAACAGATAACTTTCTCGCTCTCTCACACACACACACACAGAGTGGGAAAACTGCTGGAACAGATAACTCCTAAGCATACTCTAGACCACAATAAATTTTTGCTCTCACATGCACGGCAGTTGACACTGGCTACCTTTCACATGCACGGCAGTTGACACTGGCTACTTCTCACATGCACGGCAGTTGACACTGGCTACTTCTCACATGCACGGCAGTTGACACTGGCTACTTCTCACATGCACGGCAGTTGACACTGGCTACTTCTCACATGCACGGCAGTTGACACTGGCTACTTCTCACATGCACGGCAGTTGACACTGGCTACTTCTCACATGCACGGCAGTTGACACTGGCTACTTCTCACATGCACGGCAGTTGACACTGGCTACTTCTCACATGCACGGCAGCTGACACTGGCTACTTCTCACATGCACGGCAGCTGACACTGGCTACTTCTCACATGCACGGCAGCTGACACTGGCTACTTCTCACGTGCACGGCAGCTGACAATGGCTACCTTTCACGTGCACGGCAGCTGACAATGGCTACTTCTCACATGCACGGCAGCTGACACTGGCTACTTCTCACGTGCACGGCAGCTGACACTGGCTACTTCTCACATGCACGGCAGCTGACACTGGCTACCTTTCACATGCACGGCAGTTGACACTGGCTACCATTCACGTGCACGGCAGTTGACACTGGCTACCATTCACGTGCACGGCAGCTGACACTGGCTACCATTCACGTGCACCGCAGCTGACACTGGCTACCTCTCACGTGCACCGCAGCTGACACTGGCTACCTTTCACGTGCACGGCAGCTGACACTGGCTCTCTCTCTCTCTCTCTCTCTCTCGCACGCACGGCAGCTGGCTCTCTCGCACACACGGCAGCTGGCACTCTCTCGCACACACGGCAGCTGGCACTCTCTCGCACACACGGCAGCTGGCTCTCTCGCACACACGGCAGCTGGCTCTCTCGCACACACGGCAGCTGGCTCTCTCTCGCACACACGGCAGCTGGCACTCTCGCACACACGGCAGCTGGCACTCTCGCACACACGGCAGCTGGCACTCTCGCACACACGGCAGCTGGCACTCTCGCACACACGGCAGCTGGCACTCTCGCACACACGGCAGCTGGCACTCTCGCACACACGGCAGCTGGCACTCTTTCGCACACATGGCAGCTGGCACTCTCTCGCACAAACGGCAGCTGGCACTCTCGCACACATGGCAGCTGATACTGGATCACTTTTGCATACACAACATTCGATTTTAAGACACACACAACAGTTGGTATTTGGCCACTCTGACAGGCCTGACAGTTGACATTTGCTCACTCTGACAGGCGTGACAGCTGAAATTTGCTCACTCTGACAGGCGTGACAGTTGACATTTGCTCACTCTGACAGGCGTGACAGCTGAAATTTGCTCACTCTGACAGGCATGACAGTTGAAATTTGCTCACTCTGACAAGCGTGACAGTTGAAATTTGCTCACTCTGACAAGCGTGACAGTTGAAATTTGCTCACTCTGACAGGCATGACATGTTGAAATTTGCTCACTCTGACAAGCGTGACAGCTGAAATTTGCTCACTCTGACAGGCGTGACATGTTGAAAATTGCTCACTCTGACAGGCGTGACAGTTGAAATTTGCTCACTCTGACAGGCGTGACAGCTGAAATTTGCTCACTCTGACAGGCGTGACAGTTGAAATTTTCTTACTCTGACAAGCGTGACAGTTGAAATTTGCTCACTCTGACAGGCGTGACAGTTGAAATTTGCTCACTCTGACAGGCGTGACAGTTGAAATTTGCTCACTCTGACAACCGTGACAGTTGAAATTTGCTCACTCTGACAGGCATGACAGTTGAAATTTGCTCACTCTGACAGGCGTGACAGTTGAAATTTGCTCACTCTGACAGGCGTGACAGTTGAAATTTGCTCACTCTGACAGGCGTGACAGCTGAAATTTGCTCACTGACAGGCGTGACAGCTGAAATTTGCTCACCGTGACAGGCGTCTCAGCTGAAATTTGCTCACTCTGACAGTCGTGACAGATGAAATCTGCTCACTCTCACACACATGACAGCTGATATTTGCTCACTCTCACACACATGACAGCTGATATTTGCTTACTCTTAAATACATGACAGTTGAAATGTGCTCACTATCACACACATGACAGTTGAAATGTGCTCACTATCACACACATGACAGTTGAAATGTGCTCACTATCACACACATGACAGTTGAAATGTGCTCACTATCACACACATGACAGTTGAAATGTGCTCACTATCACACACATGACAGTTGAAATCTGCTAAAATATGACACCATAGACAATGTGACAATTAAAATCATTTTTGTAAACAAAATTAGCTGTAATCCAACTGGACAATTAAAATACATCATAGGAGCAGAGATCTGTCTGTCACAAGACATCAGATTTGTAAAATGTCAGAGGGTGACTCAACTGTTCACAAACCCAGTCTCAAACTGGACAGAGAACAGAATCACTCTTTACCATAAACTGCCATCAACTGGACAACTGACACATCACTGCCATCAACTGGACAACTGACACATCACTGCCATCAACTGGACAACTGACACATCACTGCCATCAACTGGACAACTGATACATCACTGCCATCAACTGGACAACTGAACACATCACAGCCATCAACTGGACAACTGAACACATCACAGCCATCAACTGGACAACTGAACACATCACTGCCATCAACTGGACAATTGAACACATCACTGCCATCAACTGGACAACTGACACATCACTGCCATCAACTGGACAACTGACACATCACTGCCATCAACTGGAAAACTGACACATCACTGCCATCAACTAGACAGTTGAACAGATCACTGCCATCAACTGGACAGTTGAAAACATCACTGCCATCAACTGGACAACTGACTCATCACTGCCATCAACTGGACAGTTGAACACATCAGTGCCATAAACTGGACAGTTGAACAGATCAGTGCCATAAACCAGACAGTTGAACAGATCAGTGCCATAAACTGGACAACTGACACATCAGTGCCATAAACCGGACAGTTGAACAGATCAGTGCCATAAACCAGACAGTTGAACAGATCAGTGCCATAAACCAGACAGTTGAACAGATCAGTGCCATAAACCAGACAGTTGAACAGATAAGTGCCATAAACCAGACAATTTAACACCTCAGTGCCATAAACCTGACAGTTGAACAGATCAGTGCCATAAACATGACAGTTGAACACGTCAGTGCCATAATTTAAATAGTTGAACACATCAGTGCCATAAATCTGACAGTTGAACACATCAGTGCCATAAACATGACAGTTGAACACATCACTGCCATCAACTGGACAGTTGAACACATCACTGCCATAAACCGGACAGTTGAACACGTCAGTGCCATAATTTGAATAGTTGAACACATCAGTGCCATAAACCTGATAGTTGAACAGATCAGTGCCATAAACATGACAGTTGAACACGCCAGTGCCATAATTTGAATAGTTAAACACATCAGTGCCATAAATCTGACAGTTGAACACATTGGTGTCATAAACTAGACATAAAAACTAACTAAACTACTTACACCAACAATAATAACACAGAGCCAAACTTTGACATCAGCTGTACACACCAGCTTAGATTTCTGCACTGAGGATGACTGTCAGCTGCTATCTATCAACTGTTTAAAAGGATAAAAAGACAAAAATGATGTCACTGCTGACAATGGGTGAGCCAACCTGGCATAGCTGTAGATCTGAGTTTGTAGAGTAGCTTGAGAATGGAATTATTCAATGACAGGGACACAGACTTCACTGGACAAACTAATGACCAAGCCTGCCAACAGGCTGACCACAATGACATCAGACTGGGCACAATGACCAGGTAGGCCAAGGCTAAGATCTGCTCACTTTCACTGATGGGATGTTTTTACTGCTGTACTCATCAAACAGATCCCTGAAAAAACACAAGATAATGTTTTAAATATATTCAAACAGATTGCTGAAAAAACACAAGATGTTTTAAATATATTCATCAAACTGATCTCTGAAAACAAGATGTTTAAATTAATGTACTCAAACAGATCAATGAAAATATACAAGATAATGTTTAAATGTACTTAAACAGATCAATGAAAATATACATGATAATGTTTAAATGTACTCAAACAGATCAATGAAAATATACAAGATAATGTTTAAAGTATTTATCAAACAGATCAATGAAAATATACAAAATTATGTTTAAAGTATTTATCAAACAGATCAATGAAAATATACAAGATTATGTTTAAAGTATTTATCAAACAGATCAATGAAAACATGTAACATTTAAAGTTTATTTATTAAACAGATCCCTGAAAAGACAAGATAATTTAAAAAGTTTTCATACAACAAATATTGAAAACAATATAATTGTGTGCTAAATGAGTTACCACTAGTCAGCACACTACCAAGTGTCCAGCAGGTACCCTTCAGCTTCCTCTCTTAGAAATAGAACTCAACGACAATGACACCCTCATACATTTTTATTTAACAGGATACATTACACAAATGCAGAGACGTAATTACTGATCAAAGTTGACATTCGCACATCGTCCTTCAATTTGTAGCGACCTCTCCTTGACTACTACAGCTCCAAGGACTACAGCGTCCCACACTATGTCTGTACAGCTGAACAGGACGAATTCTCATATTTCCTGGACCTTGATATTATTTCAGCATATTACACGGCTGACCGGAGACGAACCTCCCTTGCCGTACTCCGAAACCACACAGCTGTCGTCAGCTTGTCGCCAGCTCCGATGAGCGACAGGACTTCTACCATAAGTCCCCTCTAGCACACAGCTCTCGTCGGTACCACTCCCCTCTGTTGTTGGCTGCAGGAATTAGTTCTAGGTTGATGATACTGGCATACAATTGTTGGCTGCAGGAATTAGTTCTAGGTTGATGATACTGGCCATACAGTTGTTGGTTGCAGGAATTAGTTCTAGGTTGATGATACTGGCCATACAGTTGTTGGCTGCAGGAATTAATTCTAGGTTGATGATACTGGCATACAATTGTTGGCTGCAGGAATTAGTTCTAGGTTGATGATACTGGCCATACAATTGTTGGCTGCAGGAATTAGTTCTAGGTTGATGATACTGGCCATACAGTTGTTGGCTGCAGGAATTAGTTCTAGGTTGATGATACTGGCCATACAGTTGTTGGCTGCAGGAATTAGTTCTAGGTTGATGATACTGGCATACAATTGTTGGCTGCAGGAATTAGTTCTAGGTTGATGATACTGGCCATACAATTGTTGGCTGCAGGAATTAGTTCTAGGTTGATGATACTGGTCATACAGTTGTTGGCTACAGGAATTAGTTCTAGGTTGATGATACTGGCCATACAGTTGTTGGCTACAGGAATTAGTTCTAGGTTGATGATACTGGCCATACAGTTGTTGGCTGCAGGAATTAGTTCTAGGTTGATGATACTGGCCATACAGTTGTTGGCTGCAGGAATTAGTTCTAGGTTGATGATACTGGCCATACAGTTGTTGGCTACAGGAATTAGTTTTAGGTTGATGATACTGGCCATACAGTTGTTGGCTGCAGGAATTAGTTCTAGGTTGATGATACTGGCCATACACTTGTTGGCTACAGGAATTAGTTCTAGGTTGATGATACTGGCCATACAGTTGTTGGCTGCAGGAATTAGTTCTAGGTTGATGATATTGACCATACAGTTGTTGGCTGCAGGAATTAGTTCTAGGTTGATGATACTGGCCATACAGTTGTTGGCTACAGGAATTAGTTCTAGGTTGATGATACTGGCCATACAGTTGTTGGCTGCAGGAATTAGTTCTAGGTTGATGATATTAGCCACACAGTTGTTGACTGCAGGAATTAGTTCTAGGTTGATGATACTGGCCATACACTTGTTGACTGCAGTAATTAGTTCTAGGTTGATGATATTGACCATACAGTTGTTGACTGCAGGAGCTAGTGCCAACAAAACGGAATCAATGTTAGCCTGATGTCTTTAACCGTTAACCTTGTTCCTCTCACTGGGAAAGTGCACTTAGACATCAAATGTGAAAATGTGCGAAAGAACTGGTTTGAGATATGTACAGAACAGGACAACCAGAGAGGTAAATGTACTGTACAGAACAGGACAACCAGAGAGGTCCATGTACTGAACAGAACATGACAATCAGAGAGGTCCATGTACTGTACAGAACAGGACAACAAGAGAGGTAAATGTACTGTACAGAACAGGACAACAAGAAAGGTCCATGTACTGTACAGAACAGGACAATCAGAAAGGTCCATGTACTGTACAGAACATGACAATCAGAGAGGTCCATGTACTGTACAGAACATGACAATCAGAGAGGTCCATGTACTGTACAGAACATGACAATCAGAGAGACCCATGTAAAGTACAGAACATGACAACCAGAGAGGTAAAGGTACTGTACAGAACATGACAACCAGAGAGGTAAATGTACTGTACAGAACAGGACAAGAAAGGTCCATGTACTGTACAGAACAGGACAATCAGAAAGGTCCATGTACTGTACAGAACAGGACAGTCAGAGAGGTCCATGTACTGTACAGAACATGACAATCAGAGAGGTCCATGTACTGTACAGAACATGACAATCAGAGAGACCCATGTAAAGTACAGAACATGATAATCAGAGAGACCCATGTACTGTACAGAACATGACAATCAGAAAGGTCCATGTACTGTACAGAACATGACAATCAGAGAGGTCCATGTACTGTACAGAACATGACAATCAGAGAGGTCCATGTACTGTACAGAACATGACAATCAGAGAGGTCCATGTACTGTACAGAACATGACAATCAGAGAGGTCCATGTACTGTACAGAACATGACAATCAGAGAGGTCCATGTACTGTACAGAACATGACAATCAGAGAGGTCCATGTACTGTACAGAACATGACAATCAGAGAGGTCCATGTACTGTACAGAACATGACCTTCAGAGAGGTCCATGTAAAAGTACAGAACATGACAATCAGAGAGACCCATGTAAAGTACAGAACATGACAATCAGAGAGACCCATGTAAAGTACAGAACATGACAATCAGAGACGTCCATGTACTGTACAGAACATGACAATCAGAGAGACCCATGTAAAGAACAGAACATGACAATCAGAGAGGTCCATGTACTGTACAGAACATGACAATCAGAAAGGTAAATATACTATTCAGAACATGACAATCAAAGAGGTCCATGTATTGTACAGAACATGACAACCACAGAGGTCCATGTACTGTATAGAACATGACAACCACAGAGGTCCATGTACTGTACATAACAAGACAACTGGATTGATCCATGTACAGGAGATAACTAA